AGCTGTGTGGAACGTTGCCGCGCGTTACCATGGCAATGCTCCACACAGCATCACGCGCGAGGACAGGGGAGCTGCTTCACAGATCCCTCCCCCTGCCTCCTGACACGGAAGCAGTGCTTGCCACCACCTGACCACCAGGGATGGCTATGTCCCCCCCTCCTTCATTAAAGGTAAGAAGGAGGGAGGGGGGATACTGATTTAGCATACTTTTTTAAAAAACACCTTTACCCCAGCCCCACACACACAGCACCCCTACCCCCCACACACAGTACCCCTACCTGCCCACACACAGTACCCCTCCCCCACACAGCACCCCTCCCCTGCATTCCTCCCCTCCCCCACACCCAGCATCTCTCCCCTCCTCCACACCCAGCTTCCCTCCCCTCCACCCAGCATCCCTCCCCACCCATACCCCCCCACACACAGCACCCCAACCCCAACAGCACCCCTACCCCCATACACAGCACCTACCCCCACACACAGCCCCCTACCCCCAGCACACACAGCACCCCCCACACACAGCACCCCCACACACACACAGCACCCCTACCCCCCACAGCATAGCACCTTACCCCCCACCCAGCACCCCTACCCCCACACAGCACCCTCATACACACATATTAACTCCTCGACACACACACACACAGCACCCCTCACATACACACACACAGCACCCCTCACACATACACACACACAGCACCCCTCACACACACATAGCACCCCTCATACACACAGCACCCCTCACACACACAGCACCGCACACACACAGCACCCCACACAAAAACACATACACTACACCCCTCAATGCAGTATGTGTGTATTCAGCAGTCTGTGTGTGTGCATGTATTTAGCAGTCTTTGTGTGTGTGTGTGTATTCAGCAGTCTCTGTGTGTGTGTACTTAGCAGTGTGTGTATTCAGTGAACTGTGTGTGTGTGTGTGTATTCAGCGGACTATGTGTGTATGTATTCAGCGGACTGTGTGTGTATGTATTCAGCAGTGTGTCTGTATGTGTATTCAGCAGTCTTGTGTGTGTGTATTCAGAAGACTGTGTGTATGTATTCAGCAGTCTCTGTGTGTATGTATTGCATTTGTTGGAGATACTAATAAATATAAGCTTAATTTTATCTATTTATATCATTGTTTAAAATGTGAATCATTGAACTCTCTGTTGTTGTGTTCTTTTAAAACAAAAATTGTTAATTAGTTCGGACAACAGTACGAGTTATTTTTTTCTAAACTTAAACCTCAGTATTGAGGTTTAATTGCCGTGTTGGCACTTTAAGGAAAAAAAAGTTGGCATGTATTGCGGTTTGGGCTCAAAAAGGTTCGCCATCACTGCTCTATAGGGTTCAGGTCAGGCGAGTTTGCTGGCCAATCAAGCAGAGTAATCCCACGGTCATTGAACCAGGCTTTGGTGCTTTTGGCAGTGTGGGCAGGTGCCAAGTCCTGCTGGAAAATGAAGTCAGCATCCCCATAGAGCTCATCTGCGGAAGGAAGCATGAAGTGCTCCAAAATCTCCTGGTAGACGGCTGCGTTGACCCTGGACTTAATGAAGCACAGTGGACCAACACCAGCAGATGACATGGCTCCCCAAATCAACACAGACTGTGGAAACTTCACACTGGACTTCAAGCATCTTGCAGTGTGTGCCACTCCATTCTTCCTCCAGACTCTGGGTCCTTGGTTTCCAAATGAGATGCAAAAGTTGCTCTCATCAGAAAAGAGGACTTTGGACCACCGAGCAACAGACCAGATCTGTTTTTCTTTAGCCCAGGTAAGACGCTTCTGACGTTGTTTGTTTTTCAGGAGCGGCTAGACAAGAGGAATACGACATCTGAAGCCCATGTCCAGGATCCGCCTGTGTGTGTTGGCTCTTGATGCACTGACTCCATCCTCAGTCCACTCTTTGTGAAAGCCCCCAACACTTTTGAATGGCCTTTTCCTGACATCCCTGCTGCTTGTGCACCTTTTTCTTCCACACTTTTTCCTTCCACGTAACTTTCTATTAATGTGCTTTGATACAGCACTTTGGGAACATCCAACTTCCTTCGCAATTACCTTTTGAGGCTTTCCCTCCTTATGGAGGCTGTCGATGATGGTTTTCTGCACAACTGTCAGGTCAGCAGTCTCCCCCATGATTGTGATTCCTACTGAACCAGACTTAGAGACCATTTAAAGGCTCAGAAACCCTTTGCAGGTGTTATGGCTTACTTAGCTGATTAGAGTGGGACACTGTGAGCCTAGAATATTGCACCTTTTCACAATATTCTAATCTACTGAGATTGTGGATTTTGGGTTTTCATGAGCTGTAAACCATAATCATCACACTTATGACAAATCACGACTTAAACTATCTTGCTTTGCATGTAATGCGTCTCTCTCATATATTAGTTTCCCCTTTTACGTTGCATTACTGAAATAAATTAACTTTTGCACGATATTCTAATTTTTCGAGGTTCACAATTTAAAGAAAACAGAGCATCGCATCTCATTTAAAAAGTTTAACATGAGGTATAAGGTGAGGTTTAGTTTTTTATTGAACGGTGTAATTTCCACAGAAGAGAGAGATCCATTTATAACCTGTATGGCTATGTTTAATGTTGTGTTGCCCTTTATCAAAAATAGTTTTTAACACTCACGAACTGCAGGCAAGACAAGGCCAATCTTAAAAAGCTCTTGCATGCAGAATGTATTGTATGTGTAGAAGTGGTTTCCACTTGCAAATAATTTTTTAAATTTATTTTATTTTACCTTCGTTCTCAATGTCTCAGAGTTTTTGTTTGACATATTACAAAACTGATATTTATGCCACGCTACCCAAGCTAAAACACCCAGCACATAATTTTCCAGCAAATAGTGGCCACTATGAATAAATAAACAAAACAAAAAAACTGTGTGTAAAGGATTGTCACTAAAAGTGAAAATCGAACACACAGAGGTCAGGGATGGTGGTACCAGATCCACCAAAGGGAATGAACCCAATATTAATTGGATAACAAAATGGATAAATATAAAGAGTCCCCCATAAGGGTGGGACTCAGTCTGGTTTTGAAATAAAGTCAGGGCTAGGAAAAAACCTAACAGTGGTACAATTTGTGACTAAACCAGGGATAGACACTGAGTTGTGGCCCTAAAGTTAGCCAAAGACCTTTGTGACGTATAGTCCCAGATGAGTGCCGTAAATAATTAAATCCAAAACTTTATTAAAGGGACACTATAGTCACCTGAACAACTTTAGCTTAATGAAGCAGTTTTGGTGTATAGAACATGCCCCTGCAGCCTCACTGCTCAATCCTCTGCCATTTAGGAGTTAAATCCCTTTGTTTATGAACCCTAGTCACACCTCCCTGCATGTGACTTGCACAGCTTTCCATAAACTATTCCTGTAAATAGAGCCCTATTTAGGCTTTCTTTATTGCAAGTTCTGTTTAATTAAGATTGTCTTATCCCCTGCTATGTTAATAGCTTGCTAGACCCTGCAAGAGCCTTCTGTATGTGATTAACCCCTTACCGGCAAAACCCACCAAATTCGTGGAACTGTTTTGGGCATGCAGCCCAGGGTGAGCCGGTCACACAAGACTTCCATAAAATTTGCGAACCCCTGAACCGATCTGGGTGAAATTCGAATATGTTGGTCACCCAGATCAGGGCTATCAGGGGACACATATATATTTATGGGGATACCCCCAGTATAAAGGGGTGTTCTGAAAGTTGGGGGAAAAGTGATTTTTCAGCCCAGAGATAATTAAGTTACTATTTTATCAGACTAAATTATCTCCTGGGCTAGGGGAGGGAATTGTAGGTGTGTTAACATTTTACTGTTTGTGATTGGTTATTGTTTGTCCCTCCCTGAGGGCTGTCCCCTTGCATGGGGACTTGCATAAAAGCTGTGTGCACCCATTAAAGGAGAGTTCATTTTGTACCCTTCTTCTTGACTTCAGCTGATGTTTGGGGATTCGTGTGTTTCACTGAGGGAATTATCTGGTGAGACTATTGGAATTGCTATAGGATTCGTCTACCCTAACTACCGAACGGAGGGCTATACTCACTAAGGTTCTGGTGGTTCGGGAGGAAACTACCGAATGAGGTTAAATATACTCTGTTTCCTTACATACAGTAATTGATATGAACAACACCCAAAGCTGCTAGGGGTCTAATTCTTAAATCTGAAACGTGCAAATGCTAAGAACTGGTTGGAAAACAATAGCAATCCTATACGTAGTAATCACCAGATTCTGCGGAGTGTAACCGTAAGGTCAGGAAGCAAACAGGAAAGGAGATAAGGCTATTAAAGTCTGTAACTCCTATAACAACACCTTTAAAGGTGTTAGATGCTAAGTGAAATACTGCAGGTTAATCCCTACAAATCCAGGAGCGAAGAGAGAGGCATTACTAAACTATAGACCCTGCAGCTCCTAGAGTAACACCTTCGAGGGTGTTCTAAGCTGTCCCTATCTAATACAACTGAGACCTCCCACGTACCCCTTAGGACCAAATTGAAACTTTTACAATATGTCACAAAGGTTTTTGGCTAACTTTAGGGCCACAACTCAGTGTCTATCCCTGGTTTAGTCATAGATTGTACCAGTGTTAGGTTTTTCCTAGCCCCGACTTTATTTCAAAACCAGACTGAGTCCCACCCTTATGGGGGACTTATTATATTTATCCATTTTGTTATCCAATAGTGGCCACTGCCCCCATCTTTACTAGCTAATCTTTTTAAAGCCTTTTAAAAGTTTTTAACATATCACATATATTGCTTTAACTGTAAGATAGCTCACTGGGTTAACACACCAATTAATAATAGAACCCTCTGTGGTTACATCTCCTGAGGTCTGTATATTTAATACTTTTGAAACTGAATGAAACATTTATATCTCGTTGTTGAAAATAGTAGATGCAGCTATTATTCTATTTATGCTATTTTGTTACCAAATAAATATGCAGGAATATCTACAGGAGATAGTGTGTTCAAATATTTGAAGAATCTTTCAATGCATCATTTTTAACATGTCAATTTATTAAATGACAATATCAGGGTTATTTACATAGATCCATCAAAAATCATAGGGTCTTAAATAGAAAGAGCAATATACCCAGAAATTGGTCAAAGCTAGTCTCACTTCATATCTGGGGACAAGAGAAATGCAAGTTTTTTTTTGCCATTCCATTTGAAACTTTATGCACCTTTTTAGCAAATACATTTAGATTATACATGGAACTGAGGGAAACTGAAGAAAGAAAAAGTTTCCATAATGTGTACCTTTATTAATTAATATTAAATCCAAAACTTCAATTTGAATACAATACTGGGTTCCCTTTTCCGTTCTCTGCATTTTCCACTAGTACAGTACCACTTCTTAGTAATCAATTATGGTTTGACATTTCAACCCAAAAACTATTTAGGAGATTTTAGAATGAGCTGTTGATTAAAATTTTTATTCTAACTGGCGTGATAAACACTGAAAACTCAATATGCATAATTCAGGTCAAAACAGTCCATTTTGACCCTAATTTTCCAGACTGAATGTTCAATTTCCCACAATTGAATGTTTGGTGAATAAAACTGCAACTCCTTGCCAAATTTACAGATTGCAATACAGAGTAACCCTTATTATTGTATGTGCATTAAGGGATCTGAATTATATAGTATAAATATTACATCAAATAATGATAAATTACACAATTGAAGTTATGAGATGTACAGTAAAATGAAATGCCACTATTTGATAACTTATCTCAATTATAGGTTTCCAATAGAAATATATAAAATTTGATGGTGGTTGTTTTAATTTATTTTGGATAATTTTTGCCGATGTGCGCAGCTGGGCATTGAATGTATACACTCAGTAAGAATACATAAAACCAGAGCTATAATTTTCAATGACGTTCAATATATATTTGCTCTTTTTAAAGGGTCGAAGGGTTTGTATGTGTCATATAGCTTCTCCTATACCACAACCTGTTCAAGTATCCTTTCTGCCTCAAAATATATTATCTTAGCTTCTCTTTTGGGGCGGATAATAATGACATCTATAATAAATGTTCTTAGGATCACCTTGGATTGATCGCCACCCTGGGTTAAATGGCAAGATTCTCTGTGAGCAGAAAAAAACACAACATAGTACAGAGTTACAATAAATAGGAATATAGAACAAATGTATGGGGATGGAAGTTTTGAAGTCAGCCATACACCTAATTCCCGGTATGACACAGATTGTTCCCGGTAAGGTTCAAGAGCACTGGGCTAATGCCCGTTGTAGAGCAAAATACTTAAAATACTTTAAAACCAATATAAAACCATTGTCACTGTGCAGATTGCATCACATTTATGAGACTTGCCATGTTGATTTTAATCCCAGTAATCTCCTGAGTACTGCTTAGAGGTGAATCAACACCCTTTAACGTGGCTATGCCCCATCACTGTCCTGATGCTTCTGTCGTCGTAGGCCATGTAACTGTATGGTGACAACTGAACACACATGCACCACAACAACATGGGATTTGTCACTGATCCACGTCTCACACTATGTCCTTGCATGCTATTCAGCAGGTAGTGGCCAGTGACTGGTGAATGGGTGGCTGGAAGCAACGAACATGTTCTACTGTGGAACTATCGCTTTCTACTGATTTCATGTATTTGTTTAGAACAGCAAAAATCTCGTTGTTTAGAATCTGGTATTTCCGAATTCGGTCTGCCATCTTCTTCAGAGGCTGTAAAAACAAATTAACATATTAATGAACTATTATTAAATTTAGGCTTTATTAGTGAACTTTTCTAGGAAATTTTTACACATGGTAGGTGGTTTAATTGAAGGCACACAAGTCATGTTATTTGACATTTCGAATTAATAACCATGGATGTTATTGATGACTGCTTTTAAATGAAATATTTTGTATAATTTGACATTTCAATTTTTATAGATAAGTCAAATTATGTTTCTACTTTATTGCACTTTGGGGAAATCTTTTTCACTTGTACTTTTTACCTCCTAGTAAAATATATATATATATATATATATATATCCATCCATTAAGAGAGGTGCACTCACAGGTCTTTGCAAAGAAAATTATAGTTTATTCACTCAATATAATCCAATTGTCCCAACGTTTCGACCCTTCGGGGTCTTTTTCAAGTGAGTGAATAAACGATACTTTTCTTTGCAAAGACCCGTGAGTGCACCTCTCTTAATGGATATATACTGAACGCTGGTAGCACCGAGGCAATATATATTTAAGGAAGAGTGCCGAGGACAACTGTGTGTGTGTATATATATATATATATATATATATATATATAAAAATATATATACACACATATGTCACAGGTGTCTCATCTCAGGGCCCTGTTTAGCCTTGTACTGCAGAGAGCCCCAGATGGATTTTTTCCCCAAGCAAGTGGATTAATATCATAAGAGCAGATATTAGGCTGTTAGAGAAGGACCTGCCAAAGATGGGGTACATTGACGTTGTGGCAGGCTTATGCAATGTATGATCATGTAATGTAACTAAATCCCATTATTTTTGCCTTGATTGGGTGTTTCTAAAAAATAAATTAATTAAAAAAAATGAAAATCTGTGAACGTTAAAGTTGCTGTTTAGTTACTGGATAGTTAATACAATGTTAAACAATAAGCTGCACAACAGTCAAGCCATAAGACCAAGCCTCAACAGGCAAACCAGTTACCAACCTCATGCTGATGATTTGCATTAACAATGAAACAGCTGTCCATGAGTGGTTCACTGGTTTTGCATCTTTACCCAAGTTGTGTTTCAAAGCTGTTTTATACAGCAAACACAGACTCAAATGAATCCATGTTTAAAATGGAATGAGGCAAAAATGTGATTCTTTGTTAAACTAATTTGCATATGCCTACCCAGAATCCTTTGTTGTAGTAATATCACTGCAGATTTGTGATTTCTGAGGGAAAAGCAAGTCTTATGGCTCAACTGGTGTACAGATTTTTGTTTAACTTTGTGTTAACAATATATATATATATATATATTTATAACAACATTTATTTATGGTTTGTTTCGTGAGATTGAGTTAATCTTTTTTGATTTGTAAAAGTTTCAGGAATTACTTCTTAAAAACCATCTAATTTTTTTTATGTTTCCAATTTTCACACGTACACACATCAAAAGTACATTTTATTTTCTTGAAATGATAGTGGCAAAAACTATTTTGGAGATGCTCATGGATTTTTCACACATATTTGAACTCATTATCGAGAGATTTTCTGTCTGTCCGTCTATCTATCTATCTTTATCTATTTCTTTCGTAGAAGTACAAAGAGGTAAGGGTGTTTGGTAAGAGAAATGTTGCAATGCAGTTAGGGCACAAACTCACCACATTCTTTATGATTTCATCTTTCCCATCCTGGCGTTGCACCTTCAGTAGATGGTAGCAGAAGTCAAAGAGATCAAAGCGGCGCTGTTGTCCCAGAAGTACAATGATGGCGCAACCTGCCCAGTTTAACCCGTCACCAAAGCACTGCCTGCAGAGGAGGTAACAGAAAAAAGTGCCAAGAAATGCATTAACTTATAGAAGAATGAATGTAAAATAATGAATACGTAACAGAACAAAACGTATAGTGAAGGAATAGCAGTGGCCTAGTAATCAGGTACTAGAAAGAAAAAAAGTAAATGAATTGTTGAAAGAAGAAACTGAGTTTAACAATACAAATATCAAAATAAAAAGCGTATTATATGAGTCTTACCAATATTCAAAAGGCTACTGACTTTGACTATATTAACTATTATGATACAATATATCTTTTTACTGCTGAATAAGTTGAGCTTTTCGCATAAGGTAGAGAAAAACACATAAATGCTTAATGCATGGAACAGCATTGCTGAAGTAAACAAGCATAAGTTAATGAAATTAAACAAAAATAAAATGAAACAGAAAATTATTTGTCTGCATAATATTCAAGTGATGCATGCACGATATCACAAAAAGACCACTGACTCACTCCGCTGTAAACTCGTTGGTTCCCACAGGGATGCAATATACAAACTGCATGGCACTCCAGAGCCGGTGAAACTCTACACATTCATCCACATGCATTACGCCATTGGTGGGGGGTGGTCCTCGCCAGATGGGGTCCTGCAGGTAGCTGCGGATTCGAGTCAGGATGACTTCAAACATGGAAAGGCCACAACACAATCTCTCTTTGGTCAGAAGGTCTCCTTCACGAGCAATGGCAATTTGCTTAGAGAAAATATGTGAGAGAGTACAAATCTGTGGATCATGAATTATATTTCCATTGAAATATCAATGGTACAAAAAGAGGACATTGATTTTTCATGTTTTCCCTCAGTCACTGGTCTGTCAGTAGCTAACAAGTCATAACAGGGTTATTCACTAAAATGAGAATTCATGGTGAATTCAAAGTGAATTTCAAATTTTACTTCAAAATAGCTGGATCTGTAGTATAGCAAGGGAGTATATGCCCGATATACCCTGTGTACTGAAAGATAAGAACAATGAAAATTAGAAGAAAGAAATTTTGTTTTAAAACTATGGTGATGGTATAAGTATATGAGTTATATTATATTTTTAACTAGAATCTATTAAAGGTTAAGTTGTTTTCATTTTCCAGTGATTTTCTTTGCTCTTATGTTCCAGTACACTGGGTATACCTGGCATTTACTCCCTTGCTATACTCCTGATTTACTATGTCTGTTTGTATTTAAACATCCTAGAATGTTGTCTTAAATGTAAATTGTCAAACCATTTCCAAATGGTATGACTACTTAGACTGGGGGGGTGACAGGACACTTATGCACCATAATAACTTTAGTGCTTCATAGTGATTATGGTCTTTGGAGAGTTCCTTTATTAAGGAGCAGAGACCTGTGCGTCAGTCAGCACTTCCTGGTAATTTAATGTACTGTTATTATTATGTAGAAATTGCTTATGACACATGTGAAACACTTCTTTAGTTTTGTAAATTGTTTTACAAATACCACAAAAACTAAATTCTTATGGACCAAATAATAGGTTAATTTTTAATGTGGTAATTAACCTTTGAAAGGGAGGTATTTTTGAAAATAAAATATAATATAAATAAAATCTTTCCTCTTAAACTGCTTCTCTATATTTGTAAATATCTACTTAATTCATTGTTTATTTTTTACAGATACTTATTGAGCAACACATCCATATGTAAGATCAGTCATTGGTTTTATTCTAAAACCTAAAGAGGTTTATTTCTAAAAATAAAAAAATTAAAAATATCATTCTGGGGTAAACCCTAAGGAAGGTGAAGAAAGTACTGTGTTACTGTTGACTTGTATAATGTGCATACACTGCTCAGATATGTGGACAGACACAGCACCGAATATAGCTTTGTCTTAAGACATCAGGCACAGAAGAAGCAGGCTTCTGCAGATGGATACAGTTATACGCTGCTCTGTGCTCACATGACATAGATGCTTTTAGCACCATAATCTAGGCAAGAAGTCCTCATGGTGGACACTTAAAATATAACAAGATCATTTCTGTGGTTATCTCCATAGCTCTTCAGTTTTGACTATTGTCCATGTGTGTTTGAAGTACTTGGCCAGAGTGCATTCAGCTTACTGAAGGAGGTTGCGGTGTTTTATGTCATTGTCCTACTGGGTCATTTGGTTATTTTTGCCCTGGGGATGGAATTTGCCAGTTTTGTCTTTTATGTTATTGTTCTGTCTGTCCATGGAATTACAAAAATGTTTATTGTCAGTCAAACAGTAATCTTCCAAAAAGTAAGATATATCTATATATATACCTGTGGAGTTCCCAGCCTTTCAATTAATGGAACCAGATGGAGAGGGGCATACTTGGCTTCCAGTCGTTTCATCCTCACCTCCAATCGTTCGCCCTCTAAAAAACAGAGAACAACATGGGAAGGACATGAAATGACATTGTGATAACCAATAACCAGTATAAAATGTCACGTGATAACCTCAACAGTTTGCTGATTCTTTTAAATCACCACCATGACTTGCCTTTGATGTAGACACGTGGCAAAATGTTTTGGAAGGGTGCAGCATGAAGAAGGTCACAGACTTCCTCCTGAGACTGGAATACAAAAAGACAAGGATAAAGAAGTGACCATTAGATAAAGTGAACCATGTACAATACTCAAAGATGTCTTCAAAGACTAGAGTTTGGAAAGCTGGGTGTTATTGGTTTATACACAATTATCGTTAGGAAGACAAATAGGATGGACTTGCCAAGTGAACTTCATGGCCTATATGAACACCCTTTTGAATTCAATAGAGAAACTCGGTAGAGCTGTGACTGTAATAAAAGGAATATTTTTGTATTCCTGACACTATAGTGTTAAAAAAACATTTTAAGAGTCTGCCATCTCCCCCATGCCCCTCTTTAATAGGGTTAGAACTTGCCTTTAACCGGCGCTGTGCAAGACTGCTGCTGCTGGCTCCGCCCACACTCCAGCTCCAGAGATGATTACAGCTAATCCATTATTTTCCCATAGGAAAGCATTTGGAGACTATCGCACATGTGTGGCAAAACGCTGAGTTGACCAATCTGCATCTCCTCATAGAGATGCATTGAAGCAATGCATCTCTATGGGGAAAGTTCAGCATCTCCATGCAAAGCGTGGAGATGCTGAATGTCAGTGCTGGACACCCGGAAAGCATCACTAGGGGTCGTCTGAGCGACTGCAATGTAAACCCTGCCAATGGAGGTGTCCCTAGGGAGCAATGTAAACACTGCCTTTTCTCTGAAAAGGCAGTTTTTACAGCTAAAGGTCTGCATGGACTGACAAATTCACCAGAACAACAACATCAAGCCATAGTTATTTTGGTGACTATAGTGTCTCTTTAAATTTTGCAGAAAGATATAGCATTTGCTACTTTTCCTGCCAGGTTCAATGGCAACACAGAGTCCAAGAAAAATATAATATGGCATTAGGTCTTGTGGGGAAACAGCAATCAATCATAAACTGTCGCTACTAACAATAGTTGGTATTGCAGCTACAAATTACCACAAGGTTTCCAAATTTATGTAGCCTATCAGCTTTCCCTACAGATGTCAACCAGGGCATATTACCGACTTACTGATAAACACACACCTGAGTATGGGCACTTCACCCTGTGTGGCTGGTAGTAACAGGTAAGTAAACTTTAGCAACAAGGTTGGAAAAATACTTTTTGCTTCAATATTAAGTAATAATTTATGTGGTTAACCTCTCTACACCAAGCCAGAAGCCTTTAAAGTTAATGGTAGCCAACAATGAACAGTGACAAAGTTGGAAACCAACCATCAGAAAGCTGCCCCTAAATAGTGGTAAGCTGCTTCCATAGAAAATAATAGGAGCCAGTAAACGTTACTTAGCTACCGGCTTTCGAGAATTGGCTACTGGTAAATTCCTGTCACTGCTGTTACAATTTTGCAGTTAGTAACCAGCTTCTACTCTCTAAAAGTAGAGATAGAAATCCGGTAATTATAAGCAACAAGCCCTTATTGTTTTATTTTATTTCATGTCTGACTTTTTACAGAGGCACTGTCACTGTAAATGTTAAAGGTGTGTTTTGGATAAATTGTATAATTCAGTCTATACAGTATTAACTAACATATGTAGAGATTACATTATACACATACCTGAAACTGCATTCATTGCATACACATGGATATTATAATGAAGGATAACATGTATTGTATCGTGCACTCATCTCAAAGACTGTGTGTTCCTTACCAGAGCTTGCTCTATAAGCAGACAGAAGAGTACTGCATTTCCCACCTCTCGGAGGCTCTGGAAAACATCAGTCTTTAGCTCTGCATACTCTATAATATCCTTCAGCTGGTGATGAAAGAACTCCAGTATCCCTGATTCAGTGCAGAAAGATCAATGTTAAAGAGCTGGCAAAAAACAAACTGACAGCCTGGAAAGGGAAGCTACCAGAAATAATATTATCTATTACATGGAATGGGAAGGGATGAGGAAGTATATGATATGATGTGTAATATAAGAGATCCGGTAGACTATAAAAACTATAAAAATATAAAAAATAAAAAATTTGTGTATATACTGTATACTTAGTCAGTTTTGATCTAATTTATAATAAACATCACAGTCTGTATCACTCAATGAGCTGGATTTAATTACCAAAGATTAGCTTATCACTGATGACTAAATAGCCATTTTCCTTCTGCAGAGATAAAACAGAGCCCACTGAGTCATACATTCTGTGATTACTTGCACTCCATTTCAGATAATGGCATCTCCATTCATAAAGCCTCCCTCCTTTACACATGAGCTCTCATAAATAACATAAATAACCAATTTTAACCAACATAAATAACACATGAGCTCTCATAAATAACATAAATAACCAATTTTGCAATTTATGGAATGAATAAAAAAAAAAAAAGACCACTGGAAAACAGACCGTTTGGATTTGGTTTTATTTTTATTACTCCATCCACTTTATGTTCCTTTTCAGACTTACCAGGAGATCCGTACTCGTGACGTGGCAGCCGACAGATTTTTGGCATGACCTCAATAAGTGTTTTGACATACTGGAGAATGGTTCCCTGCAGCTGCAAGTGACAAGAAAATCAAACTGTTCAATGACACAATGAGGGACATTTATAGGTGGAAAGTGCTAAAAAGTAAAACAGTCAAACCAACTTTGCTTGAAACTTCTGTATGTTAAAAAGTCTAGATCTCTACACTACATTTACCTTTTGGCAGACCATTGATTTGCAATCATTTATTTTTCATGTTTTTAAAAAAAAAAAAAGGTTTAAGGGATACAAAGCTGTATACCTGGCACTATAGCTCCCCTTGCCTCCCCCATCACAGGCACATCACCACTGCAGTAAATAATGGGTTAAAAACCATTTATTTACTTACCATACCCCAGCACCGATGTCCCTCAGTGCTGGGTCACGGCCCCGCTTCCTCCGATGTCCAGTGACATCTTATGGGGGAAAATCTAATGCTGGATGTCCTCATGCAGAGTTACTGGAACAAAGGTCCATTAGGATCCAGGAAGCACCTCCAGTGGCTGTCTGGGACAAAGCCACTGGAGGCAGGCTTAGTGCTGCAATGTAAACAGTGCAATAGGGACAGTGCACTCAGACCACTTCAATATGCTTAAGTGGTCTGGGTGCCTATAGTGTCTGGGTGCCTACAGTGTACTGCACCCAGTACATCATTTATAAACATTCACAATCTCCAATAATGAATGCATTTCTTTACTCACAGCATTATGCAGAGTTGAATTCCCTCCATTACATGAGGTTTTCAATTGGATGATTGAGCTAGGCAATTGTACTTATTCCACATGGACACTATGTCCATATAACATAAAATGTTAAAATTATTTTTATTTAATTAATCTAATTTTCTTAATTCAGCAACTCAGTTTCCTTATACATACTAAGAAGCAGCATATTTGGCATCTTTATTTTTAGCTGTCTACACACAAACTTGCTGTTTATGTGATAGATAAGCATATAGACTGTAAGCTCGTTTGAACCTATCATTCCAAGTCCTAGTCCTAGTTGTGGCAGTCCTAGCCACACCTCCCCTGACTGTGACTTACACAGCCTCCACGAAAAAGATTGTTTACTTTTCAAACTAAATTTACAGCACCGTGTGCTTACTTTAGCAATTTACGTTTAAAAAATTGGTTTTCTTTTTCAGATTGTGTCAGTGCCAAGGGCTTCATAAAAAGGTTGATTTAACTTCTAGTTTAGCAGTGAGACTGCAAAAAATTATCTATACACCAAAACTGCTTCATTAACTAAGGATGTTTTGTTGCTTAGTGTGCCTTTAACTATGGACATAACAGACAAGTCCATTTGTTTATATCTGCTATCTTAATTTGTGTATATACTGTATACTTAGTCAGTTTTGATCTAATTTATAATAAACATCACAGTCTGTATCACTCAATGAGCTGGATTTAATTACCAAAGATTAGCTTATCACTGATGACTAAATAGCCATTTTCCTTCTGCAGAGATAAAACAGAGCCCACTGAGTCATACATTCTGTGATTACTTGCACTCCATTTCAGATAATGGCATCTCCATTCATAAAGCCTCCCTCCTTTACACATGAGCTCTCATTTCACTCCCTTCTCACCAGGCTCTTAACGATTTTAAGAAGCTCTTCCATCACCACTGCAATTCCCTGGTACCCTAGCAGGCGGCAAATTGTTTTGAAGTGAGGAGGTCCCACAAAATTCCTATATGAGCTATATATGTGGCTGTAAGCAATATTGAGTGGCTGTAGGAAAAAGGACCAGAGGAAAAGAATATTTTTTAAACACAATCAGGTTTATAGAGATACATTATATCATATACAATTAAATAAAATATTTCGACACAACAAGCTTTCAGGAATGCTCATAAAAGCCCATTGCTCCAAATTATGTTCTCGTAAATGTTTTTCAAGATTCTGCAATACCAAGTTAGATATTACATGAAAATGTAATTACTAAGACAGCGAAAATAGAAACATCAACATATCTACTCAGTAAATAAGGACTTGAAGTGAAATGACAACCAACAGTCAATATTTAAGCTGCCTGTGAACAATATTTTACAAGCAACAAACATGTACAAAATCAGACTAGATCACATTGATGCATTTAACCTTAGTAAGTATAGCGTTTACCTACAGATGTAAAAGCCTAATGGCAATCTGGTATCTCTAGAACAGGAGTGCCCAAAAGGTAGATGCCCAGATGTCTTAAAACTACAGCTTCCATGATGCTTTGTCATTCAAAAACCATTTTCAAAGGTATGCAAAGCATCATGGAATTTGAAGTTCTGCCACATCTGATGATCTACCTTTTGGGAACCCCTGCTCTAGAAGATCTGGTTAAACATGGTAGGCCTCGTAATACAATACCAGGCTTAGTGATTAGGTTTCTTAAAGACTATTAGATTCACTGACCTTTGACCCATACAGGTAATACGGCTGGACATTAGCAGGTTTATCTCTTTGTGGCTCCTGTGTGAAGGGAATTGCAGTACGGACAAACCTAGAAATATGATACCAAAATGAAAAAAGCAGGAATGATTTCATCAGCCCGTGCATTCTTTCAATACAAATAAAGTACCATATAGTGTTCCCAAGTCAGTACATTTCCAAACAACATGCTTTCTTACTTCTTTGTGTATTCATAATGGGTACTAAGCTGAAACAAGGTAAACTCCATTATCTAGACAGAAGTGTGTTACAGCAAGACCTTAGTCCTTAGATTGGCTCGGTGTAACCGAAGACTCCCCTAGGCCAGTGATGGTGAACCTATGGCACGCGTGCCACAGGTGGCACGCCGGGCCCTTTCTGTGGGCACGCGGCCATAGGTTCGCCATCAATGCAGAGTAGGCACCTGCCTGCCCAAAACGGCAGGCGCCTACTCTGCTTCCGTGTCGGGAGGCAGGGGGAGGGATCTGTGAAGTAGCTCCCCTGTCCTCCCGCGAGCAAGCTGTGTGCAGCGTTGCCACGCATCGCGCGGGAGGATGGGCAGCTGCTTCACAGATCCTTCCCCCTGCCTCCCGACACGGAAGCAGTGCTTGCCACCACCGGACCACCAGGGATGGCTGTGTCCCCCCCTCCTTCATTAAAGGTAAGAAGGAGGGAGGGGGGGGAATACTGATTTAACATACTTATTTTTTGTAAAACACCTTTACCCCAGCCCCACACACACAGCACCCCTACCCCCCACACACAGTACCCCTACCCCCCCACACACAGTACTCCTACCAAAAAAAAAATGGCAAGATTGAATGAGGAACCAGAGAGCAGCATAGTAAAATCACGAGTTAAAGCAGAGCACTTGATTTGTATGTAACTGATCAAATACTGAAAGCATTATAGAGAGCTATACAGGGTATAATTGTTAACTTATAGAGAGCTATACAGGGTATAAGGGTTTAGTACTGGTGTTAAATACAACAGGAGTGCATTGGACTGCCTGCAGCTTTAACCCCTTAAGGACCAAACTTCTGGAATAAAAGGGAATCATGACATGTCAGACATGTCATGTGTCCTTAAGGGGTTAAATTCACCACAAATCATACAATACGTTTAACTGATGTTGCATGCAACTTGGCATTTCCACGTGTGCAGCTTTAGAAGGGGCTGGACTGGAATGGTCAGTGTTATAAGACTCACTTCCAGCCCCAAAGTATCCTGTACATCGGCGAGGCTGGGAACACTACCCACAAAATATGCACTGGTACAATTACATTCTCTAAGTCACACACGTTCTGATGCACTGATACTCCAGCAGTTAAGAATTTATCATTTCTTTTTCAATGGGATATGGATGAAACCTTTAGATATTACATGAGAACTGGTTTAGACCATCACATTTCTAGGCTACAGATGTTGCTAATTTTCTCTGAGGAGCGGCTATCGATAAGTCCACCTTTAGATTTAACATAAGATTTGCTTCAAAGACTACTGAGTTAAAAGGAAACAAATTAAAGGACAGACTAAATATTTAATGATCAGTTTTCAAGAGCACAGCATGAGCACTGGAGCTATCTCAACTTAAAACAATAGCATTGGGCTTTATAGTCCTTGACAATACTGGAATTTATCTGTGTTTGACTCATCTGGGACACAGAGTTCTATTTAAATATATTTGCATAACAGCAATACACTGATTTCTCACTGAGAATGTGGGAGTCTGTAAGCATTTTGAATAAGATATTTTACAGTTATTTTACCATTAGGTGGCATTATTCAGTTCCAAATCCTTAAAAAAATTACACCAGACCCTACAATCTAAACCAAAATTATTTTCTGATATTTAAACATCATTAACTTGTAAATGTAGAAAAAAGATACTCCCCAAGATTTAACAATCATGTTTTGTGTATTTTCAACATGGACAATTCACCACGAATACCCCAAATTTGGGTGCTGAGACTTACCTGTTTGTTGAGCCATTGTAGCAGTAGTTTGGCAGAAAATCAAAGTTGAGCTCCCAGAAGACATGTAGTGTGTTTCTCCCATAGGGAGCTGAAACATTATGATTGGCTTCTCGGAACATAGCATCAAAACTGTCCAGGGTCAGGTGCTTGGAGAGTAGGCGGTGAGTCAGCCGATTAATATCAAGAAGCCATTCCAATTCCTAAAATTAAAAGACATTGCAAGGAGTTTAAAAAAAAAAAAAAAAAAAAGGTTGGCTCAGGTGTTACCTTTATCCGGAAATCAGATTTTTGAAAAGATGGAACTTGAGTATGAAATTACAGAGCACCATTCATGACTATTTTCAGCCTCCCTAAAAAAAAATCACCATAATTCCTACGTACTTTCCATGTTAGGTCATCTAGTGTGTGAAGAGGAGTGGGAGACCACTGTCTATTACAGCAACTATTTAACTTCCCTGCTTCACAAACACACAGCACTGGAGTATGCTGCAACTCAATGTGCCCTCAACCTGGATTGAAACTCCACAAAGTTTTCCATTAAGGAAGAAATTAAATGGAGAAAAAGCAAACCATTGCTTACAGCCTACATTCTTTTACAAAGCTAATATATTGCCAAAATGTTTTTTTCACATCTTACAAATATTTGTAGGTGTTGATGTAGCTGTTTAGGATATTTTATAAACCAGTGCATCTTAACGTTTTGTGGAAGTGAGCAAAATGATGTCCACGGCATTAAGTTGTTGGCTCATTCTTCAGTTGTAGAAATAGCTCAGTTTGGTAATATGATATATATTAAAACTAATTCAGCAAAACACATTCTTTAGGCTTTTACCAGGGGCAGATATATATTTTAGGCAGCGTTCTGGGTTCCAATAAGTAAGATGTATCATGCCAACCATCGGTGACCCATAAAACATAGTTTAGGGACTTAATTTTAGATTTCAATCCAGGGATTAAAATATTCAATGCTTGGAAATTCCTTTAGGCTGAGATGTCATTAGGAGGGGTCTTTGTGTAAATGTGAGCGTGCATCACTGAATAGATAAGAACTCCCAATAATATTTTAGTATGGACCCCAGGTAGGTTCCTCTGTGATCTCTCTGTTTAGACAATCTGTTGCAGTGGTGTTGAACCACAATTCTTTTGAGCTACAAATCCTATAATTATTTGCCTGTCATATGGTTTCAGAGCAGTTGTAGACCAGACATGCTAGTATTTACACCCTTGCTCCATTGTAATCCCTATATCTACAATGAAAAGAGATAGAAAATCTAAGAAACACCCTAAGCACTGTAGCTTATTGACAGTGGCAGGACTCACCACGATGGAGGTCAGGTCCTCACTTTCAAAGCGACTGATTGCCTGATCCAGAGATTTATACATGGCAGCTGAGATCCTCTGAGTGATTAGTCTGTTCAGGTCAATGGATCTCCCCAACAACTAATTGGAAGATAAGAATGAAAATTACAAATCACTGTTTTTCACTGAATATTTGCATGATGATAACACTTGTCAAGAAGCTTCTTACGGTGCAAACAGATCATATGGATATAATGATGGTCACTGTTCTACTATTGGTATTTTCAGGCATATGGTCTATATCTACTTTGCCTGTTACCAGTGATATCTCAAATTGGCTTTAAAAATAAATTTTAACCATTTTGTTGTTGTGATAAAAATAACCAATGTTATGCAATAACCTGGGTATTTTATAGAATGGAAACATCAAACTTTGGCTTATAAAGGCTGCTCACGCAATGCTGCTGATAATGGACTACAGAAGACAGAGTTAATATTCCAGTCACTAACAGAGTAGCAGTAGTTCACAAAATAAAACATTTTTTGTTCCAGTCACTAAGTAAAGTTTTTGGCAAGTTACAAATCACTGAAGTGAGCGCAGCAATAGATGGGTGTATAAGTGCCTGGGGAAATGCAGAGGGAAACAAGCTTGATTGTGTGTTTGTGGGACTGATAGTGGGAACATGAAAATGTCTGCTTATAGAAAGCATGTGATATTGTTTTAAAACCAATAAACAAATCTATGGTGTGTGCACGGTCTTTTGGACAAATTAAAAAATATGCTTATTATTATTTATATTTTTTAAAGTGACATTGTGTTGCCATGAGTCCTCATGGGCCATCCGCTAATAATCTGTCAAACTGTTTATGAGCTGAGGTTCACTGACAGCTGGCACCTTGCAAGCATGGGTGCACGAACCAGGAGGAGGGGATGAGGGAGACAAATCACCACAGAAAATCTAATGTAGCTTTTATGATTGTATAAAGTATGCAAGCTTACCCTTATGGGTTGGCATACATATGTATGGTAAACGTATCGCAATATAATGTATCTGAAATAAATACAAATAGTGCAAGTAACATATGTACGAGATTTGATGCATGAATGATCTATATGGTTTCACTCACATATATCAGAGCCCTATAGGATAGGCTCAGGTCTCAAAGGCTTGCGTGTACTTATGGTGACACGGTACCCAATCGGTCCTTCTATCGTCCCAAAGTCCTTATACATGCATATGAGACAAGAAAAGGAAAAACAGGGGAAGCAAAATGCCCCTAGTGTAATAAATTCCAGTACTTAGTACATATAATGGAAGAAAAATGGCTTCTCACCTGATGCATAGCTGATTATATATATATATATTTATATTAGCTTCTATATCATCATGGCATTTGGATGACATCTACAGTAACTATTGGTTCACACTGGCACTTATTTTTAGGTGGGTTTCACCTTACACTTAATTTTGAATAGATGCACTGGCACTTTAAATGTCAAAACACTGGACTGTGAAATACAATGATTGTGAATTGCACAGTAAAATGAATTAGTTCGATATAAAGGATTACTAATACATTTCCTTTTCTCCTTCTAATGTTTGGTCTGTATATATTTGCATTGAGTTGCTGTAATATAAACGGACTTGTAGGTATTTTGTAAAGAATGGGCATTTGCCCAACTTAAATATGGACGGCAAAGATCTAGCAATACAGGTCCGAAAACACGCCCAATTTGTGATGTGATACGTGACGTCATGGGTCATGTGGGGCGCTCCGTGACTAGAACATAGGTTACATCCACGGACTCAACTGCACACAATCAGCAGGGACAATTTCGGGAGCTGATTGGAGGAGGAGAGGAAAGATCAAGATATTTAAACAATGAATAGCAGCAGGCACATTATCGACTGAGAAAGCTGTCACAGTACAGCGAAATGCGTTTCGGCAGGAAGACTGGAGATTCCACTTTGTATTTTTAACATTTATTGTTCTTTTTTCATTTGTAAGTTTTTTTTAATACTTATATTAATACATTTTGTTTTATTTGGAATCTATCTCCTGCCTTGCTGCTTAAAGAAGGGTTGTAGCCCCCTTAAAGGCACAGATAGCATTACACCAGGAGCCAGGTATTACTCCTCATCAGATGAGAAGCCATTTTTCTTCCATTATATGTACTAAGTACTGGAATTTATTACACTAGGGGCATTTTGCTTCCCCTGTTTTTCCTTTTCTTGTCTCATATGCATGTTTAAGGACTTTGTGAAGATAGAAGGACCGAATGGGTACCGTGTCACCCTAAGTACCCGCAAGCCTTTGAGACCTGAGCCTATCCTATAGGGCTCTGATATATGTGAGTGAAACCATATAGATCATTCATGCACCGGATCTAGTACATACATTACTTGCACTATTTGTATTTATATCTATTTCAGATACATTATATTGCGATACGTTTACCATACATATGTATGCCAACCTATAAGGATAAGGGTAAGCTTGTATACTTTTAAGCGCTCCACATATACACCAGTGGTGGTCTCTACTATTATTGTATTTTCCTGCACTGTGTGTACACCTGTTCTATGTACCAATTTATAGGGAAGAGAGCCCCTATTTTATTGTGGTAGCAACTATTACTGTTTATTCTACTACTAATTGGAGACACACATTTCCACATTGTTTATGATTGTATGTTTCACTGTTTAAGAATGATAAGAAAAACAAAACGTGCCAGGAGTTGGTTATCCCATTCTATAGACTCCCTAGCGATAATATATAATTTTGCCTGAAAAAAACCTGCAGAAATCTGTATGCTCCGTAAGTGGGGCTGGGATTACTATAAAGGCAGTCCCTCCCCCATATTTAATCTGGTTCCTACGCTGATGTCTGCAAGATAAGAGTCAACCTGTGTGTTAACAGTTAGACAGATTGCTGGCACAGTGCCCAGGGACTCTAGGTACTATAACTGCTGCAAGTGTGCTGAATGGTCATTGTGTCTTGAATGCTCCCTTGAGATATAACTTTAAATGCTCCTTTTTAGTATGTGTATCAGGGGTAAGCATCATTTGGCACTCCAGATGTTGTAGACTACATCTCCCCTGATTATTTGCCAGTAATTTGTCTGTAAGAACATTATGGGAGACAATGCTCACGGCAGCATCAGGAGTGCCAAAGATTGCTTACCGCTGATGTTGGCCGTCCTTCTTCCCATGGTGCATCCTGCTGCCATCTCTTCCCCAGACAAATGATGCACATGCAGTCAGCCATTCACCTGATCTAAAAAAAAACGTGACCAGGCAGATTGCGGCTTTGCAGCCCCATGTGCACCAAATTTCGATGTGTGTTCTGACACCTTTCTATCATGTCCAGCATTAAGGTTTTCAGTAATTTGAGCTATAGTAGCTCTTCTGTGTGATTTGATCAGACAGGCTAGGTGTCAGGGTTCTTACCTGATGCGGAGTCCGGTATGCAGAGATATACATTCACCCTTGCTTATAAACACAGACCAAGGTGACCAGGTAAGAATCCACCTGGCCTGTGAGTCTGTGCATGGAGGCTGTGCAGGGATATAACGCCAAGTTGCAGTACAGGCAAGGACAAGCAGAAGAGTAGTCATGGAAAGCCGAAGTGAGGGAAGCCAGAGGTCAGAGAAAACAATGAAAAGAGCCAAGGTCAGGAGCCGGGAACAAACTGGAGAACACACGATCTTGATATGCAGAAACAGAAACCAAAAACGTGAACCAGAGTCAATGAACTGACTGGAGAAAAGTGCTATCTTGGACAACTGGGAGTAATTTATAACCTCTATGGACTCTCAGTGCCTTACCTCCAAGAAAGCTACTTCCAAGCCTTCTCCAGGTTCCCGCAGATCTTGGGTACCTGGAGCAGGCTTGGGAGTAGCTTTCTTGGAGGTAAGCCACTGAGAGTCCATAGTGGTTATAAATGATTCCCAGTTGTCCCAAGATAGCGCTTTTCTCCTGCAGCTTCTGGTATGCCCACGTCTTCAGCCATCCGGAAAGCAGATTAACAGTGGAACAAACCTTGACAAAGTTGCTGTAATAGGTCCTGGGCTTAAGGGCAAACAGGAGCAAAAAATCCATCCTGAACGTTGTAAATGAGAAACGGGAACCATAGAACCTGCGAGGCATAATCACAAAGGGTTCTGGATATGCAGGTTCCAGGGATGTGTGTACCGTTCCTTTAAATGCCAATACATCCTTCTGCACCTTCTGAACTTCTCATTGCTGCTCCGAAACAGTCTGGGCCAGGCTGGACACTTGCTGTGTAAGCATCTTGCACATCTCTGCGGACTCCATGAAGGGTCAGTTCATTAGGAGCAGGCTTGGGAGTAGCTTTCTTGGAGGTAAGGCACTGAGAGTCCATAGTGGTTATAAATGACTCCCAGTTGTCCAAGATAGAACTTTTATTCTGCAGCTTCTGGTATGCCACTGTCTTCAGCCATCCGGAAAGAAAATTCACAGCCCAGGTGTACCTGGTTACTCTCGGTTGTGTTTATCTGCAAGGGTGAGCAAACATCTCTGCACTTCGGACTCCAACCAAGGTAAGACCGTTAACACTAGGCTTCGCTCCCCACGAGCATCAATGAGCCTTGGCCATCCAAGACCATGACGCCGGTTCACCGGTTGTCCTTCCTTGCACAACTTTTGGTAGATACTAACCACTACATACTGGGAACACCCCACAAGACATGATGTTTTGGACATGCTCTAAACCAGTTATCTAGCCATCACAGTTTGGTACTTGTCAAAATCACTCAGATTTTTTCCTTTGGCCAATATTTGTTGTGCTTCCAACACATGTAATTCTAGAACTGACTGTTCACTTGCTGCCTAGTATGTCCCACCTCTATTATCAATGTTATTAATTACACCTGTACGTGGTTTTAATGTTGTGGCTAATCAGTGTACGCACATACTTACATTTATACCTATGCAGTTGTCAAATATGAATATTTTATTTTAGATGTTTTTAGGCCTGCAATGTCTAGTTAACACATTCTTTAGAACTGTCTTTTGTTGGGTTGGAGAGCAGGGGGCTCTAGAATTTTGTACCTACAGGCACCTTATCAGGCTCTAATATGAGATCAGTATGAGTGAAGCTGATAACATGTCTTAGCTACAAACAACCACGGGAAAGAGGGCAGATATTAAAAAGACAGTGATTGACTATGGGGCAGAGTCATGTGTGCAGATCGTTTGACACGGAGTTGAGTACGTAGTCAATATATGTCTAATAATATATGTCTAATAAGGAAGTAATTTTTGGCAAAAGTAATGAGATTTGATTGTGGATAAAAATACAGCATGAACATGAGGCCAAAACTTATCACATGTACTTAATATATGTTGGTGCATAGATTCTCCCCCAAAAATCCATGTCTCCCACCTGCACATGGCGCTGCTTAAGGAGAGTTTCATAACGATTAGATGGTGGATATGGAATAATCACGCCGTAATTCTTGCACTCTGCACGGAAGCGTTTATCAAGCAAAACACTGTAGAAGAGAGAAGACAAGATGGTTAGAACAACATTTTAATTCTCTAAATGTATTCCTTAATACAGTGCTTCTGAAATCAGTTTGCTCTGTGCCACTAATGACCTGTTTAACTTGTATCCTCCACTGGACAAACTGGGTGGTCGCTAAATCAAGGACTGTTTATGGTTTGTGAAAACTGGTGTAGGAAGTACTGTATATGTTTGGAGGAACAATGCAAAAATGATGCATGTACAAAAAAAAGTAATTTTATGTATGGAGTAATTTTGTACCTACCAGACAACCAGTAGAGGAGCCTTCTGCTGTTTCACAGAGTTTAAAGCAGTGAAACAACGTTGGATGTCATGCATTTTTTGGGTATTGATTTTTAACCCATTAATTGCTATGCAGAAGGGGGTGGGGCAGAGAGACACTATAGTGTTAGGAATAGTGTTTGTATCCCAAAAACTATAGCGTTCCTTTAAAAAAAATCTAATTATGCAAATTTACTGAATTTTCTTTTCACTTGTGCATTTTATCTTTATAATGATTTGTATAGTTGTTCTGGTAAGTATAGTCAGTCCCAACAGACTTTTTAATGTACACACTGCCTTTCAGAAAAAGGAGGTGTTTACATTACAGCATTTGAACACCTCTAGGTATCACTCCTCAGACATTCACTAGAGGTGCGGCCTGGGGCAGTGCTGCACAGTGTACAGCACTGACCTTAAGTGTCTCCACTCTATGCATGGAGATGCTGAACTTTCCCCTGATTCCAATCAAATATACTGAGCTACACAGGCTCCTGTACATTGAGTTTATGTTTCTCGGTTTTGGTTGAGGGTGTGAAAGTTTGCAATTCTTACCTGCCTGACATGGCTTTGTAATATGCAAAGATCTGATCAGATAACTTGTACACAAATTGATCAAAGCACAGATTGACCTGTAGCAAAAGTAAAAGAAAACACCAACTTATGACATTGAGGAAAGTAGGCAATATTTAGGTACAATTTATAGAAGAGAAACAGAACGTTACCCTAATTGAGAATAAGTTTAATGCCCAGTGGCATAATTTATAATTTAGCTTTTGGTAGAGCAGCAAGACAATAATTACTAGCACATGAGTTCTTTCATATGTAATCATTGCCTTGGTTTGAACATTTTTGGATAAGCTTTACAAATTATTCAATATTTTTGGATCAACTGTTTAAATGATTTATCTAAAGATGTCACCATTTAAGTCTATGGGATGTCTTTTGTGTTTATAAATAATTTGAAAAGTTTATCTAGAGAGTTGTACAAAAGCAAACAGAACAAAGAGAACCAATTAAAGGGTTTCATTGATATATCAAACAAAACCCCGAGAAAACCATGAGAAACGTATGCTGCAGGACAAGTACACAAGAGCACAGGAATTTATAGAAAAATAGATCTTGATTGGAAAATGAGGATAGATAGATAGATACACAGATATATATATATATATATATATATATATATATAAAGAGAGAGAGAGATGGATAAAGACAGACAGAGAGAGAGACAAGCAAATAGACGGACATAAAGACAGACAGACAGATATAAAACCTCTAGATAAATTCACAGTGAAAAATACATTTAAATTATCTGTAAATGCGACAGTATTGATGCAAAATGTATGTCATCTTGTGCAAGAAGTACAACATTATAACCAACAACTTCCTGTTTGGTGACATTGCTGTATCATTGGCATCTCAACAGTAGTTTTTTTTGCCAATATAACTTTTGTCTCCCTTAATGTTGTTCATAAGAAAATAAAATATACTTTTAGTGTGCATTCGTGTGAAAATTGGAAACAAAAAGCGAACAATTAGAGGGTTTTTAAGAAGTAATACCTGAAACTTCTACAATTCAAAAAAGATAAACTTAATTTCACAAAATAAACTATTTCACGTTAGGGCATTATACGGAGATCTCTACTACTGTCAGAAATGCAGCACTCACCTCAGCTTCAATCTCATCATAGAGAAACTGCTTCTTGAATTTAGTGAGAGCATAGTAAGCACTGTCATTATACAGATCCAAAGGATACAGCACATACCTAGGGAACAGGATAAATGTTAATACGAATACAGGATAAATGTTAATACGAATACAGGATAAATGTTAATACAAATACACACGAATACAAAACCTCATTAATATGATTCTGACATTAGCCTCCCTTTTGGGTTTGTATGGATAGGATTGAAAGCAATCCCACTCACCTTGTTCTGCTATTATAGTTTATTTTTGCATATTCTTCTAATTTTACGTATTTCCATGAACAAGAAAATAAGTACTGGAACAAAGGAGTGGCAGTTTGAAATGCACAAGCTCTGGCGTGAAACAACTCCCTTTAAAACGTTAGTCAAATTGTACAGCTCTGTTACTAAAACTAGTCTTTTAGCTTTAGGTTGTATCAATACCCCATTGATTAATACCAAAAGTATTGGACATCCTGATTTCATCAGGTACATTTTGCACTAAGGACTCCTAATAGGCTACAACTGATTTCTGTTTAGACAACTGAGTGATGACTATTGTGAGATTTCCACAATCTCTTACTCCATCATGGACGGTTCCTTAGTCTCTAGGATGTGGTCAGTAAGGATCCATGGCATCGACATCTCAATAGGGAATTGGATGCGCCTTCCCATGGTAAGCTCCAGGAAGAATTCACGGAACCAGAGCTGGGAAAGGTCACAGCACTGCTGCAGAGCCTCTGAAAATCAGAAATACAACTAAATTAAAAAGAAAACAACAACAACAAAGAGGCTTACATTCATCAAACTAATAAAAACATAATCTAAAAAAAGTAATATCACTTCATTATAAATGTGTGCATTAGACTTTTTTCCCCACTTTTTTTACGGGTGCCTAAATACAGCCTCTTTCTAGAGTCAGTGCTGCTTCAACATAAATTGTTTGTATTAAACATCAAAATTAGTGAAGCTCAAAAATGAATATGCATTCTGAAACAGAGCACCCTTTCATTGCTCAAGGAAACCTACATCTGATAACAGAAAGGTTCACTATGCATGTTTCAGTTTTAGCTGTATTCTGATGGACTGCTTTGTGCAGAGGTAGACAAAATGTGGCACTCCTGTTTTAGACTACATCTCCCATAGTGCTCTTACAGCTATAATGCTGGCAAAGCATCGGGGGATGTAGTCCACAACATCTTGAGTGCAGGTTGTCTACTGTTGGCTTAGTGTTTCCTTCAAGTGAACTTTGCACAAATCTTAGAAATTTCTATAGACATAGTAACTCTGCTATATTAGCCATTTACCGCTGAAGTTCAGTAGGTGAGTAAAAAAGAAGGAGTGCTTGTGAAACTCTTCAATGGCTTGTACGATAGGTCCATCCAGGCTGCTGCGTAATGTCTTTTTTGAGCCACTTTTATCAGCAATCAGAGACTCTAGCATTGTGCGAACCATGTACAGCTACACAAAGAGATAATAACAGGAATAATTATATGGGCTGTGGAAATATACCATGCTTAACAAGGGTTATTTCACAGTGAGAATCAAGCCATGATTAAATTAAATATTCATATTTATAATTTATAATAATCATAGAAAGGGGAATAATATGATAATGCTCAAACATAAAGCTGGAGAACAAAACCACACAACAATAAAAAAACAATAATTAATAAAACATGAAACAATTAACTGAGAATGTAACAAGAAAAAAATAATATTAACCCACGACAAGAGGAAACACATGGGATGTACCCATCTGCTTAAAATATACAAAAATGAACTGTATGAGAATATGTTAACGTAATAAAGTGATACTTCGTTTTTTTGGTTCAAATGTTTTTTGGTTAATATTGCAAAGTTTTAAGTTGCATTAAATTACATTAATTAATTTTAATTTGCTGAACAGATTGCTTGGTGTAGTTCAATATTTTATTTAGGAAAACAAGTGTGTCTTAAGTATTTAAGTGATGTCCTTGACCCCACACACAAAGCATTGTAACTACAAAGAAATTAAATAATTTTGGAGTCTAATAATGACCTGTGTACTGGAAGGTCCAACTGCTCTCCGAGGAACTTTGATATCAAAACCACCTTTTGGATCTTTCTCTCCACGTAGGCACGGATCATTGGGTGGTTCTCGACCTCCCTCCCAGTCACAGATTGTCTTACGTATAGCCTGTAGGACACTAAAAAGTGGGAAAAGAAAACGAGTCAGTCCGGCAGACATCTGATTACAAAGAATTATGCAAATGCTGTACAACAACTTTTCTGTTCCATGGTTTGATATCACTGCTATACTCTATTTAGGAATTACAATAACACATTATATCTACTGCACACTTTTATGAGACATGCAGTAAATTAAGACTGTTTTGCACAATCATAACTATGAATCTCATAACAATATTGATAATCAATGAACTTTATTACATAGCAAATTTTTTTTTTTTTTTCAAGAAGCTGTCTGAATGCAGAACTGAATTTACAATCAAATACCATACCCAAAAATGGTAATACTTTACAGGTAAAGCCTGAGTGTAACATGAAGGGGTATACGAATGTGGCTTACCTATAGCTACAGTCACTAATCTTTTGTATTGTGCATGTAAAAGAAAGATTTGTGTGGCTTTCAAAACCAGGCTTGGTATGGATGGCAGCATTTCAGCATTCAAAGAGAGCGGTAAGTACTCTTCGGCCAATCGGATGGTCATGACAGGAATCCTACATTTCAGGATATTTTTTTCCCCAATATATAGTTTTTTTTTCTCGTTTTTCCCCCAATTTATAGATTTTATCAAAATAGATAGTAGAAGAAGTAAAAATATAAAAAACATGGTACATGATGCAGAGGGTATCTCTCATACATTGCGAGAGCCGATCATACATTCCAAGATATTTTAATGTAAAGTAAGCTATTGCATAATCTTCACAACAATATTCTTTAATGCAACATGTTAAAACTAATCATCAGGCAAAATCCGCCATTATTTAACCCACTGATAAACCCCATCCCTTGGATGGTTTAAAGACTCATACCTAATCAGCACGTTTTTCTTCTTGCGCACTGCCTGTCTGAGAGGCTCGCGGAGGATGCTCTGAGCAAAATCCTGTAGTGCAGCATATATTGTATTGCGTATGGCTTGATTAAACACACTCTCCATCCGACCCATGAGCACCTGTAGACCCTTCACCATTGCAATCACCTACAAAACACATGTTCAAACGTGAAATGCACAATAAAACAGTCAGTGTTATTCAAGTTGTAGATTCAAAGTGAATTAAAAAATTTAGACCAAATTAGCTGAAATGGAAGTATAGTTGGCTTTGGAATTTTGAATAATAGAAACTTGGTTCATAAATATCATCAGTAGGAGATGGCTATTTTACACTCTCTATATTTACTATAATACTATGTTGAATGATTAATTAAATTCTGGGTTTTTTGTTTTTATTTATATATTCTATAAAGTGAAATTGAATTTTATTTAAAGCATATAACTTTAAGGTCTTCTTCTGAACTGAGAGAGAACACATCTAATTACATCGCAGAAATGTAGCCTGCCAGTGGTAATAATAGAATATAATTCAAATCTCATGGTTGACCCTCATCAGAGATTTTTTTAGTTCACAACAGCTTTATATGGCAAGTCGCCACTTAAATAGGCAAATAAAATGAATAGTTAAAATAGCACTTGAACTAATAGAGCCCAAGTCTTAATAAAACCACCCATCTCTCAGAAGATTTAGAATGGAGATGTCTCCCTAATGCTTCTCTCTGACAAGCATTTGACTTGAAAATGGGGTCACTGATGGGCAAAAAGGGGTACATCTTGATTAGATACATAGATCATTTCTGTAGGTAATGAAATTTATGTTTTTAAGGCTTAGGAAATAAGTATTTTAGTAGTTAAGTAAGTTCAAACTTTTTAAATAATTCACATTGATTGAAAGAAATGCATTTTGGACATAGAGTTTCCATTTAAAGGGACGCTCTAAGCGCCATAACAACTACAGCTTAATACAGTGGTTCTTATGTACACAGACTGTGCGTGCAGTCAGACTCTGTAATGTAAACACTGCCTTTTGTGAGACCCTGACAAATATATATATAAGCTAAGTTTTAGCAAAAAAAAAAAGACCATAGAGTGATGTCTATTCTTTGATTTTTTTTGTTTATTGCATAAGTATTTGCACCGGGCATAAGTATTTGGATGAGTGCAGACGTATTATATAAATATATATATATATAAATAACGAGTTACGATATACATAACAACATGGATGTCAGAGTATGGCCTGGAGCATTACAAGTTACTGTTGCCCCTATATTTCATGATCAATGCTCTTTTTTATTATAAAGATTTACAGGCAGGGCCGCCACCAGAAATTTTGGGGCCCCTTGACAAAGCACGAGGTCTGGAGTGGATACAGAGTGTTTGTCAGTGTAGTGAATGCAGAGTGTGTGTCAGCGTAATGAATGCAGTGTGTGTGTCAGTGTAGTGAATGCAGTGTGTGTGTCAGTGTATTGAATGCAGAGTGTGTGTTAGTGAATGCAGTGTGTGTGTTAGTGTAGTGGATGCAGTGTGTGTGTTAGTGTAGTGGATGCAGTGTGTGTGTTTGTACTAGTGTATGCATGTAATGTAATGAAAGCTATTCCCCCCTCCCTGCTTCTTACCTGGTTCAGGGAGGGGGGAAGATTCTATGAACCCTGGTGGTCCGGTGGCATGGTGGGGCCCCCGGCTCCCTGTATTTGCAGAGGGGGCCCAGTGGACTGCAGGAGCACTTTACAGCAGTTCCTTATCTCTAACTCCCGTGAGACGTGGTGTGCGCGCCGCGCGGAGCATTGCCATGGGAGTTAGAGACAGGGAAATGCTGTAAAGTGCTCCTGCAGTCCGCTGTGCCTCCTCTGCAAATACAGGGAGCCGGGGGCCCGTGGCTGCACATATATATGGCGATGATCGCTATATATATGTGCAGAGAGTAATTGTGGGGCCCTGGACTGCCAAAGCAGTCCGGGCTCACCAGGACCGCCGGGCCCATGACAACCGTCATGGTTGTCACCCCCTTATGGCGGCCCTGTTTACAGGACATTTATTTGCATGCCTCTAGAACAATCCAAGATTCAGATGTCCTGTGCAATATATGGCAGAAAATAAATTCATAATGTCTAGATGAAGACTGAGATTGTCCTGGAAATTTTCCCATACCTCCACAAAAGCAAATTTCTCTTCACTGGTATAATTATACCGTGTGGCTCGTTCATATTCTTCTGCGGTTCCAGGGCAATCTTTGTTACAGAACTTGTCAGTGGGATGAACCAGCTTCCACGAATACTGGGCAAAGAATAAAAGCAGACAAAAATCACATTAGTGGGGACAATGATCTCCCGAGCACTAGAACAATAATTATTGTGAGAATAGTTTGTGTCTATTCAGAGAACCAAGCTAATTTTTGTTGCATTTTAACGAACAATGTAACCTGGCAGGATCTCTCTGCAACTTGGAACTTTAATAGTCACATCTAAAGAACTGCTGAGTTTAGTTATAACTGTGACTACAATACGAGGATTTAAAGGGACACTATAGTCACCAGAACCACTACAACTTAATGTAGTGGTTCTGGTGTTAATAGCCTGTCCCTGCATGCTTTTTAATGTAAATACTGCCTTTTCAGAGATTTCCATGATTATTTTACAACTACAACTCTAGTTTGGTTGAACTCCAGAGCCTTAAAAATGACTAGTAACCATTTCAGCTGATATAAAAAAAAATAATAAATAAATAAAAATAAAAAATATATATATATATGTATATATATATATATATAAAGTGGGAAAATACCGGCACTCCAAGGTTTTCCAAATCAAAATCTTCTTTATTCTAAAAAGTACATCAACGTTTCAGCTCCCCTAAGGAACTTTCATCAGGACACCACAGTATAAACAGTGGTCAGCAATTTTTAATTAACGGACCACTATAGTCACCCAGAGCACTTCCCCTCCTTGAAGTTGTCTGGGTGCATTGGCCCTGTTGTTTTAGTCCTCAAATGTAAAACATTGCAATTTTGTAGATACAGTAATATATTTACATTGCAGAGCTAAACACGCCTATGGTGGGTTTCTTCCTGGCAGCCACTAGAGGATGCGTCCATTGCTATGATCAAGTCAGACTCGGTTGCATAACAGTCAATGTCCTTACCATAGGCGTGCGCACGGGGTGTGCCGGGTGTGCCTGGGCACACCCTAATCCCCGTGGCACGCCTATGGTTTGAGTCCTGCAGGAACAGTGTTCCTGCACTTTTTTTGAGCAGGAACGCTGTTCCTGCAGGCACTCAGTGCCCCCTGTTTCACCTCTTGCCCCTGTCATGGGGAGGGCAAGAGGTGATGGATCCGCACCCCCTCTCTGCAGCTCAGCGCGCGGCGAGGGAGCTCTCTGCTGTCTGCGCTCTGCTCCCTCTCGCCGCGCGCTGATGCCGGAAGCCAGAATATGACTTCATATTCCGTCTCCCAGCTCCAGCAGACAGCTCCCTCGCCGCGCGCTGAGCTGCACAGAGGCGCCCGCCCCACTGGACCCCAGGGACAAGTCCACGCCAGCACTCCAGGTAGGAGGCTGGGTGGACATTGTTTTTTAAAATTAAAATATAATAATTTGTGTGTGTGAGTATGTGTGTGTGTCAGTGTGTGTGTGTCTGTGAGTATGTGTGTGTGTCTGTGAGTGTGTGTACACATATACATATATATATATATATATATATATATATATATATATATACACATACATATATACATATATACACACACACACACACGCAGAGCCGGCGCTATCTGAGTGCCGGCTCTGCTCTAAGCCTTCATGGGCCGGCGGGGAGACCAAAGATCTACCTCACCGGCCCACAGCAGCATGGAGGGAGGCAGTAGAGGACCCAGGGAGCTCTAGACAGAAGCTCCGCCAGGTTCCTCTCGCGATATCTGAGCGTTGCTGCGGCAACGCTCAGATCTCGCGAGAGTTAACTCTAGCCCCGCAGGCTAGAGTTCACTCTCCACTGGACCACCAGGGATGGCACATGGCAGCAAGGATTTACTAATCTGCCAAATCCCTCCAAACATACAGCACACACACATACAGCACCTACACACATACAGCTCACACACACACAGTACACTAACTGCACCCTCACAAACACACACAGCACCTTTAAAAAAAACACAACACCCTCACACACAGCACACTAACAGCACCCTCACAAACAGCACCCTCACAGGACAAACATACACACACAAACACCCTCACACACAAACAGCACAGTCACAAACACGCACCCTCACACACACACATCACACTAACAGCACACAGCACACTAACAGCACACACAGCAGTGTGTGTGTGTTTATCTATCTATCTATATATATATATATATATATATATATATATATATAGATACATACACACACACACGCGCGTGGCGTGTGTTTGTGCTTTAGGGTGCACACCCTAATGCAATAGGCTGCGCACGCCTATGGTCCTTACCCATTGCTTGAGAACATCAATATCCTCAAATGCTTCTCATAGAGGTTTCACTATGAGAAGCATTAGACTGGACGAGAAGACAAAGATGAGACTGCCTGCGGGATGACGTCACCAGAGGAAGAGTGGGTGGCTGCATAGAGTGAGTCTCGCTCCGGGAAAAAAAGATGGCTAATACTCTTTATTTTCTTTAAAAAAAATTAATTTAGGGTTCACATTCAAATAGTAGAATAGGCTCTGTAGGAATACATGTTTGTACTCATAAAGCTACATTGTTTCTCTAAGGCTGATAAACAGTGTCAAGGTTAGTCAGACTTAAAGGAGGCCAGGTTGCTGATTGTTTACCATTGTATGTAAACACTTGCAATCCCTTTCATTGTGTTGAATGAACAAGATGGAAATAAACTTTTATCACTCAAATCCTACATACCTAGTTACACGTTTTATTGCCAAACAAATATTTGTTCCTGATAGCCATATACATAACAGCAAAAATATCTGACCAAATTAAATGTGAAAACTGCAGAGCAAGGTAGAATATCAGATGGGGAAAACACAATTTTCACTTGTGTATAACTATGATATTTCTTTTATTTGCCCTTTTAGTGTCTGAAGCAATGCCACTATAATAAAAAGAAATAATAATGGATAATGGATACTCCTTATACAGTTATTATCACGTTTCAGGCTCCATGCTCTCCTTCACAGTGTTACTTGCAATCTGAATTGTGACCTCCCCTCCAGAAAGCTAACTGAGCAGTTTACACACTTAGAACTTGAAGCTGGAAATTAAACTAGCATTCACTGGAGAAATTCCTACTGCTTGTTCTAATAAATCAACTTTTTTTCTTCTTATATTTGTAATGAATCTAAGCAAAGATATTTGCTTGGATAAAATCTTCTCACATCATAGTACCAGCACTGCTGTAGAATCCAGCACAGGATTTTTTTTAAAATTTCAAGCTTAAAGCATTTTCCAATCAGAATTATGACTGACTTAAAGGGGAACTGTCACTTGTCAATTTACTGCACTGAACAAAACATTCAAAATCACCTAAAATTGGGGTCGGGCGCCGAGGCCTGACCGCCATGCTCGACAGTCGCATTCTGTGCTAGCTCTCACAAAATATTGAAAATAACTCCTGATTCTAGCTTACTCTGGCTGATGCTTCTGCTTGGTGGTGACCCTGCACGTTGCTAAAGGGAAGGTGCATCTTTCGCTGACTGGCCCGAGCAAAGGCAGACTGCAGCTTCCGGGGCCGCGGCAGATGAACACATTGGGGAGACGGCTGCTTCCCCAGCACCTGATCGTTAACTCGACTACTAGGCCCTGCGTCCCCCTCCCCCCCCACCGGACATACAGTGTGCCTCACTATTACTGTGTATGCGGGCATTATCCAAGATGGCGCCAGAGCAGCACGCACCGACACAAGGCCCTCTCCGAGACCATCTCTCAGAAGCACTCGACCGGCTGTTTGACGAATTCTGGGCCAAGATTCAGAGCAGATCATCTCTCATGGCACAAGTCTCTCACCTGGAGCAGGAGAAGTGGAGTCAGCACTTCAAACCCCATGTGGGGAAGGATCTGCCATACCTTTAATGCATTGGCCCTCTACCATGAGGTGCAGGCAGGTCGCATAACTAGCGTATAACCCTACCATTATTTCTTACCCACTTATACATTGGGACACTCTCCTGCAGTTAACGTTTATTTGGTTTTGCCTAGTATGTACCTCAAGCATGCCTCTGTTCTACATCGTATAATGTGGTACATACATTGCCAGCATGATTTAATTTTTCTATGCAATCACCATGTCTACTATATTTTCTGTGCCTGAATATCCTCTCTAAGTTGTATGCTAAGACATGTCTATCAAGCCTGAATAACACTGTTTATTCCTACACCTACAAAAATGTGCTGATTATCAAATGCCATACTTGTGTTTACTATGTTGCTATAACTGAGCTTGCTTCTGCTGTTGTGGCATAACAGGCATCTTTGTATTTATCTGCACAACAAAAATAAAGAATTTTTGAAAACCTTTTCCTTATAAACTTTTTTTTTTTTTTTATGTATTGCCCAAATTCAAAATAAATAATAATCACTATTTAGTAGATACACATTTTTGCTCATCGGTATATCACAAAGAGTTGAAGATGTCTTGTCTGAAGCCTTTTCAAATCCTCCACTTCTTCTCCAGCCCAGACCTTCTGTGGCTGTCCAATCATAGACTTCACAATGCAGCTCAATGAGAAGTATTTGCAAGACAGGTGCTCTGAGCAATTGTCTGCCTTTTGCGTTTAGCTCCGCTGCGTTAAGTAACAAGAAACAGGACCAGTTGTCTGAATGACAGCCAGCGGGGTATAACAAGGTTTCTTTATAAAAGTGTCAATTTAAACTTTTTGTAAAATGAAAAAAATGATCACACTCTTCACACATAAATCACTTCAGCCTGGGCTGGGCCTAACAAGCAAGCTGAGCAGTCGCATGATAGCTGGGCTCCTGCTTTATTAGCCGATTATCTAAGAATACTCACCATAACCGAGATTGCACAAAAACCGGGGTGTACTACCTGAGTTCGGGGTACCCTGGTGAAAAGCCTGATACTTTACCCAAATGTTTTTGGTGATCAGGGGCCCGAGATGGTTCAAAGCGGCCTGCAGATGACAGCGCTGGGGAGAGACGGCCCCTCTCCTTGTCCCTGCAACAGAGGTGTGGATCTACCAAAATTTTACCCTTACCTCCCCCTCCCCAGGGTTCGCTCCTGAGAGGCAACCCACCTGCAACGAACTCACACAATGGTGCTGTGCAAGCAGAATGTAAAAGCGGTGTCAAGCAAAATGGCGGAACCAACATGTGCTCCCAAGTACAACAAAGAGAAGCCTAACTTGCTGGCTAGGTTGGACAACCTATTCAATGTCTTCTGGAGAAAATTGGCACTTAGGGAGCAGCAGGCTAAAAAGCACAAACCTGAGGAGCACTTACCCATGGTGTTGGAGGATTTTTCAGTCACAGTGCCTATAGTGTGCATCTCTATACTCTGATAGTCTATTCCTAGCCTGCACTGATTTCATGTTGGCCTGAAACCATTCTTTCTATTATAGTGGTTTCTTTAGTTATAGCTACACGTCAAGCTCTCTACCTACAGGGAGTGCAGAATTATTAGGCAAATGAGTATTTTGACCACATCATCCTCTTTATGCATGTTGTCTTACTCCAAGCTGTATAGGCTCGAAAGCCTACTACCAATTAAGCATATTAGGTGATGTGCATCTCTGTAATGAGAAGGGGTGTGGTCTAATGACATCAACACCCTATATCAGGTGTGCATAATTATTAGGCAACTTCCTTTCCTTTGGCAAAATGGGTCAAAAGAAGGACTTGACAAGCTCAGAAAAGTCAAAAATAGTGAGATATCTTGCAGAGGGATGCAGCACTCTTAAAATTGCAAAGCTTCTGAAGCGTGATCATCGAACAATCAAGCGTTTCATTCAAAATAGTCAACAGGGTCGCAAGAAGCGTGTGGAAAAACCAAGGCGCAAAATAACTGCCCATGAACTGAGAAAAGTCAAGCGTGCAGCTGCCACGATGCCACTTGCCACCAGTTTGGCCATATTTCAGAGCTGCAACATCACTGGAGTGCCCAAAAGCACAAGGTGTGCAATACTCAGAGACATGGCCAAGGTAAGAAAGGCTGAAAGACGACCACCACTGAACAAGACACACAAGCTGAAACGTCAAGACTGGGCCAAGAAATATCTCAAGACTGATTTTTCTAAGGTTTTATGGACTGATGAAATGAGAGTGAGTCTTGATGGGCCAGATGGATGGGCCCGTGGCTGGATTGGTAAAGGGCAGAGAGCTCCAGTCCGACTCAGACGCCAGCAAGGTGGAGGTGGAGTACTGGTTTGGGCTGGTATCATCAAAGATGAGCTTGTGGGGCCTTTTCGGGTTGAGGATGGAGTCAAGCTCAACTCCCAGTCCTACTGCCAGTTCCTGGAAGACACCTTCTTCAAGCAGTGGTACAGGAAGAAGTCTGCATCCTTCAAGAAAAACATGATTTTCATGCAGGACAATGCTCCATCACACGCGTCCAAGTACTCCACAGCGTGGCTGGCAAGAAAGGGTATAAAAGAAGAAAATCTAATGACATGGCCTCCTTGTTCACCTGATCTGAACCCCATTGAGAACCTGTGGTCCATCATCAAATGTGAGATTTACAAGGAGGGAAAACAGTACACCTCTCTGAACAGTGTCTGGGAGGCTGTGGTTGCTGCTGCACGCAATGTTGATGGTGAACAGATCAAAACACTGACAGAATCCATGGATGGCAGGCTTTTGAGTGTCCTTGCAAAGAGAGGTGGCTATATTGGTCACTGATTTGTTTTTGTTTTGTTTTTGAATGTCAGAAATGTATATTTGTGAATGTTGAGATGTTATACTGGTTTCACTGGTAATAATAAATAATTGAAATGGGTATATATTTGTTTTTTGTTAAGTTGCCTAATAATTATGCACAGTAATAGTCACCTGCACACACAGATATCCCCCTAACATAGCTATAACTAAAAACAAACTAAAAACTACTTCCAAAAATATTCAGCTTTGATATTAATGAGTTTTTTGGGTTCATTGAGAACATGGTTGTTGTTCAATAATAAAATTAATCCTCAAAAATACAACTTGCCTAATAATTCTGCACTCCCTGTATACCTGTTACCATTGTACTGCCGTGAGCTATATCCTATATGCCTAGCATGTTCCATATCATAAAAAGTGCAGTCTCTCTTATGACATTTGTTAGCTACGCCGCTCACGTTCACTCTCGTAATTATCTGCTAAAATGTCTCTCAACTCTATGTACCACTCCTGAACGTAAAACTTATTCTTACTAAAATATGTGCTGTATTATAGACTGCCCTATACTGTATAACTGTGTATACTTATTCTCTTGCCACTGCTGTTGGTGCAGTGCAAGACTGTCTGTTCCTCTGAAGCACAAAAAAAATCACTTCAGCCAGCTTTAGGGGTCTGAAGTGTCCCTCTAAACCAGGGGTGTCAAAAAAGCTGGTCCCTTTAAACCGGGGTGTCCAGATGTTGTAGAACTACAACTCTGATAAAGTTTTGCCTGCCTTTAGAATGACAAAGCATCATGGAATCTGTAGATTCAAAACATCTGGGGATCTACCTTTTGGACAACCCTGCTTTAAACATTTAGCAAATTACATAATAATACAGTTCAGACATGGTAACATTGCACATGAAGATAAGAAATGTAAACATTGTTTAATTTCTCCTCTTCCTTGCTGAGTGCTAGTTGCATAATGACTGTCAGGGAGCAAAGATGGAGGCACCCAGTTCCAGAATAAATAGGTGTGGGTTTTTACCCTTAATTTAATTTTCACACCTCACAAACAGAGATGAATAAACAATATATCAGTAATCCTGGAAAATTATGTTATCCCTTAAATAAACGGCCATCTAGTTCTGACCAATAGAAATGTTAGGTCTCTAGTACTCACCACTTCCATGACATGCGCACTCCACTTGGACAGTAACTGCAGACCCCTTAGAGCTAAGTCAAACAGCTCCCTGTATTCTTCGTCAGACTTCTGGCTGTCCAAACCTGAGCCAGTCACCACCTGTCAGCAGGTAAACAAGTATAAATAATATACTAAAGAAAAAATCTCTATGCAAGAATGTAACTTTTTAAACTATTTGGTTTGAACTTATTATTATTATTGGCATTTTTATAGTGCCAACATATTACTCGGTGCTTTACAATTAAAGCACTAAAGCAAAATAGCACTACTAAAGGAATGCACTGTAAATGACCTGGAGCACCATGAGAAGATAATATTGATGTGGTCATAGTAGTGTTGCAGATATAATTGTGTTGGGTTTTTGAATTTGCCTACGCTGCATTAATAAACACAAGTAATCCTTTATATAGCAATTACAAGTGTCAGGTATTGAGGAACTGTCACTTCCACAAACGTGAGAGATTTGTTTTAAAGAAACACCCCAAGTACAGTAGTGGGTATGGTGCCAGGAGCATGCCCCTTACCCACTGACTTGTCAGACCATTTTAGAACAGCTACCCACCTTCTCTACATCAGTCAGAGAGCTGGAAGATCTCTGCCTGAGCTAAGTCGGGCAGTGCAGGTCATTAGAAGAGAGGCACCAGCCGACGCTCTCCACCAATGAGCTTGTCCCGCACTGCAGGGTTCAGCTCAGGAACGCTAATGGAAACTCCTAAATAGGAGTTTGCAGCTTTCTGACTGATGTGGTGGTGGTGGAGAGTGACACCTGGCAGACCCCAAGTAAGAAGTCAAACTTTCTAAATCCCTCCTGGCACCATAACCATTATGTATGTGTTAAGGAGTTTAGAGTTTTCCTTTAGCCATGTCTAAACATGTCTGAATTAATTTATTAATATGAACAAAAAATGTCCTGGAGCCAAAAACACATATATTATGTATATATAGGGATTAAATAAAAAATAATGGTTCAGTTTAGGTTTAGTGTGCCTGTATGTCTCTCTTTTTTATTTTAGTTGTACTGGTGCAAACTATCTGTTGACAATTGATCTCCTATCTATTTGGATACATAGTCTGTCAGCTGTGAAGGGAGGGATAAAGAATCCATGCACAGCTTTATCACCACAAGAAAAATCCTTTTTAATGTGCCAGTGGCTATGGGGGCCCCAGGTGTTTTATTCATTAAGTAGCAAATTGTAGTGGATTTAAAACTGAATTGCAAAATTTAGGAAAAATAATCAAGCTGTGACTATAGATTTTTTTCCACATCATCTATATTTCCTAAAATGTTGCATTTCAATTTCCCATTTACTACAAATCACTGTGTGTTATTTCAGATAAAGGCAATTTGTATTTATTGAGACTTTAATGTTAGAATCATAAACTTTATTTATTATTAATTGCATACTAATTCTTACCTCACTGTTGCTGTAACGCGCCAACTCGGAGATGAAACGGATGTGGTCATCTCGAATCTGGACCATCTGCTCACAGATATTGTATTGAGGGCTGATACTGCTCTGAGTGCAGGTCCACCTGGGCAGGAAACAGGTGCTTAAACCTGTGGATTGGCCTCAACAGGACATGTAAACAACCTCACAGAACAAATATATATCATACAAAACTGTATGAATAACCACAATTATACACAGCCCTGAGCAATTGGGTTTGCACCAGGTTTATTTGGTTTCGACAAGTCAGACCAGAGTAATATCTCCAAGAGGTGGGCTTGTATATCTACATCTACTTGATTTCCAACCCAACTGTGCCCACAACTTACTCTTCTTTTCCAGTTACTACCCACGTTAAGACTAAACACCGCCCACCTAGATGGCAGACACCAATGGAAATGTAAGGTACTGCACTCATGTCAAAACTTAATAAAGAACTAATCTCTTATTCACAGCCCTGTTTTTAAAATATTGAAATAATTTTAACTTCTGGTCATAGCATTTGTCTTCCCAAAAAAAAGAATTGTCAAGACATTTAATGTAAATTAACTTACTTATCTTAATGCGGACTCATCTTTGGAGAAACTAACATGGCAAACTCATGCACAAATGTCCCTTTTGAAATCAACATGTTCTCATCTCTTTGTGTTTATTTGCATGAAAGGGGGGAGTCATGGAGAAAACATCAGAAACAAAAGTATATTTAAAAAATAGGCACATGACAACCTTAAAATTAATTATTGAAAATGGCAGCACCTGTCGATCCGTTTAGTTGTCAGAGGTAATATGATTTCCTATACCCTTTTCTTGCCTTTTAAAAAAAACATTTGCATGAACAGTGGAAGTAAATAAATGGAAAAACATAATATATAACTTCAACAATACAAACTGCCAGTTCCTCCTTAATAGCCTGTTCTCACCATGCACTGACTATCGCTTATTGTTCTTGATGATATGAGGTAACTTGTCAGTTTCTCCCAGAAGTCAGCTATACTGTGGAAAGTTCCTGTTACCAAGTTCATATTCAGGACACATCAAATGTAATAGGAACTCATTTTGTTCAGATGGACTAAAGAACTACTTATGCTACGTGTTATATACCTGTGTGTCATGCTACATAACTACAGGATTATAGTCCTATTGTGACTACTTATCTGTTCCTTGTGATAACGAATTTTAGAAGTGCTCAAATACCATCCAATTTCACAAAAAGCCAAAATGCACGCACGTACACATCATAATAAACCACAAAATCAAGTCAAGTCACAATGAAGCATTGTTTATATTGCATAATATTTTTATGGTTAGGGTTGGGGTTCTACAGGGGCAGTATAGAGGTTAATGTGGGTTCATTTTAGCAATAGTGTTAAGGTAGTCTAGGGGTTAATATTTTGTGATAGTGTTAGTTTAGCGGTTAATGGTTAGTAATACTGTAGGTCAAGTATGTCAAACTCGCAGCCCAGACTGCATGCAGCCCACAATGGACATCTTTGTGGCCCGGCGAGCCGCGAGTGCATGCTTAGTGTTAAAGCAGTGTAAGCACCTGCTCTCCCCACATTGCAGGTGCCTACTCTGCTAAAAGTTACCTGGCCGGGGAGGAGAGGTTCCTGCGGCAGCGAGGGAGCTCAGCCTTCCTGCTCCTCACTGCTCCCTCACGCGCGCTGTCTGTATTGATGACTGGCGCCGGAATATGACGTCATTTTCCGGCACCCGGCATCACTAAACTGCACGCAAGGGAGCAGTGAAGAGCAGGAAGGCTGAGCTCCAGATAGAAGAGGGCCCACACCAGCTCCCAAAGGTAGGGAGCAATAAATAAAATTATGTGAGTGCAAGAATGTATAAATGGGTGTGTGTGTGTCTGTCAGTGTGTGTGTGTCAGTGACTGTATGTGTGTGTGTGTCAGTGAGTGTGTGTCTGTATGTGTGTGTGTCAGTGAGTGTGTGTGTGTCTGCCAGTGAGTGAGTGTGTGTGTGTTTGTGTATGTCTGTCAGTGAGGAAGTGTGTGTATGTCTGTCAGTGAGTATGTGTAAGTCTGTGTGTGTGTGTGTGTGTGTGTCAGTGAGTGTGTCTGTCAGTGAGTGTGTGTGTCTGTCAGGGAGTATGTGTGTGTCTGTGAGTGTATCTGTCAGTGTGTGCGTGTCTGTCAGTGTGTGTGTGTCTGTCAGTGAGTATGTGTGTATGTGTGTTGGTCAGTATTACATTGGCTGCGACTGGACAGTGGAGTACATGGAGGTGCATGGAGGCACGCAAAGCTACGTCACATTCCGACATGACATCGACGTGCTCCACCCACCTTCACAGGGTTTCTGGAAGTAGCGGGAGGATCAGATTTGGCACAGGGTGCAGACGGTGCCATTTGGGGCATATCAGAGGCCGGACTCCAAAGTCGCATACTGGCAGCGTTAATGTGAGTACAGTCTGCTAGTTGGCTAGAGTGGGGTACTGGCATTTAGTATATGGGGAGGGGGGAGGACTGGGATTTAGTAGAAGGGGGGACTGGGATTTAGTAGAGGGGGGTGTTGTGGTTTAGTAGAGGGGGATGCTGTTTTTTTTTTTTTTTTTTAATACTGTACTTTTCAAAATAAACCTACGTTTCTATGAAAATTTAAGGTTTGTTTTTTTGCGGCCCACATAAACTTAAACCTTGTTTATGTAGCCCATGCTAGACTTTGAGTTTGACATGCTTGCTGTAGGGGTTATTGTGTAGTGTATTGGGATATTGTATATGTTAAGGGGAGGAGATTACTGTAAAGGCAGCATTGGTACACACATGTCTCACTGATGTCTGAGGTTACAGTCTTGGGTTGAATCTATTTCAGCTGCCGTCATTAATACTTGGCAACTGCCACTCAGGAACTCAGGAGGTAGCCCTCACTTTCATAAATATGAGATTGGAGCTCCATAGCTGCACAGATGTGATCCATTCAGTTATCCACATTCAAACATTCAAAATTGAGAATTTGAGAGAGAGAGAAATTGCGAACCCTATACTCAAGGCTTATGATGGTGACATTTATCTCTCACCTGTATCTTTATTACAGTGTTTTCTTAAAGAAACACTATAGTATTAAGAATACAGACAAGTTTTTTACCTACTTAGGTTACTATTCTTCCCTCAATTACGTTGGTCTCACTGTGGCCGCTCCACCTCCCTAGACAATATCATTAAAATTGACGATCTCAGCCAAGCCAAAGTTAAAGAAGCATTGTGAGTCTAGCATGTGATTGAGAATGAAGTGTGACTTGGTTCTCATATGGAAGTGTCTCTCTAGTGACTGCCAGGAAGACAGACACAAGAGTTGTGTTTAAACCTACAATGGAAACATTGCCATATCTACAAAACTGTAATGTTTTACATTGCAGGATTAAAGCTAAATGGTCACTGCAGAAGGGGAACTTTTTAAAGATGAATTGGTCATTGTAACTTTAGTGGTCATTTAAATCTACAAAAAAATACACAAACTAATCAGCCACACGCTTATTTACTAAAATAAAAATTGCTGGGAAATCAATGTGAATTTAAAGTGAATTTTAAATTTAAAAACAGAATTGACTTGGGAGATTTTTTCTAATTCGGCAAGATTGTCCTACATTTTGAAATTCACTTTGATTTCCTGACAATTCTCATTTTAGTGAATAATCCTGCCAGTGTCAACTTTGATTGATACAAAACATTGCTAAATGTGCACGTGAAGGGGTTAAAGGACCACTCTAGGCACCCAGACCACTTCAGCTTAATGAAGTGGTCTGGGTGCCAGGTCCTTCTAGGGTTAACCCATTTTTTCATAATTATAGCAGTTTCAGAGAAACTGCTATAATTATGAATGGGTTAAGCCTTCCCCCTAATCCTCTAGTAGCTGTCTCATTGACAGCCACTAGAGGCGCTTGCGTGCTTCTCACTGTGATTTTCACAGTGAGAGCACGTAAGCGTCCATAGGAAAGCATTGTAAATGCTTTCCTATGCGACGGGCTGAATGCGCGCACAGCTCTTGCCGCGCGTGCGCATTCAGCCCAGGAGGAGGAACGGAGGAGGAGAGGAGGCAGAGAGCTCCCCGCCCAGCGCTGGAAAAGGTAAGTTTTAACCCCTTTCCCCTTTCCAGAGCCAGGCGGGAGTGGGACCCTGAGGGTGGGGGCACCCTCAGGGCACTATAGTGCCAGGAAAACGAGTATGTTTTCCTGGCACTATAGTGGTCCTTTAATCACGTAACCAGCATTCATTGGGAATTGGAAAGGGAAGTGCAACCCTCATGTTAATTCCTAACAATTCTTGGTTTAGTGAATAAGGACAAATGTGAATGCAATGAATGCAAAAAAATATGTGAGCTAATAAAACAAAAACAAAAAAAAAGAATTATGACATTGATCCAAGCTCTTGTCAACTTTCAGATCAGTTGCTGCTCCTGCCCATTTTAAAACTTCTGACCAAATTCTGACAGTTATTGGGCACTGGGACCAAAGATTTAGAAATGCATTTCTTAAACTGCACCTTCAAATATATGGTTTGGTGCCCAATTACATGTCAGAATCTGAATGCTCCATAGTAAACTGTCCAGGAGCAACATTCCTTATCAAAGTATCCAAGAATTTTTAATACACAAAGTAACTACAATATTAAACAGCTCATGGCAGCAAACTAGGCTATCTTAAAAGCATTTTTACAACCATAAGCTGCTTAGTACTGTAGTAAACCTTTCCAATGGGACAGAATTCTGTAAGGCGGCTCCATGGCGATCCTATTCGACTTCTTTTTCCAAAGCGCCGAGAGACATTACGGCACGCACTCACTTTGATTTGTTCTCTTCATAGTGAGCACTGGTCTTAATGTATCTGGCCAGCTCTATCTGCATGTCACCAAATAGCGGCACCACCTGCAACTGCTGCAAAAGAAAAGAGACAGGCGCCGGCCACTTAGCAAAACTTAAAAATGGCAGCATTCTGCAATCAGCACAAACAATTTTTGAGACTGTATATGGACAAATAGTTTTGAAACACTTCTTAGAAAACATGGTTTAAAGAAGAACCTGGAAATACTGTATTTACAATTGTATTAATAGTTGTAAAGAAAACAAACAAACAAACAAAAAAAAAAGAGAACACTTACATGGGCACTCCGAGCACCAATACAGATTTAATGCTATTGATAGATTTAGGCCTCATAATTATGCCCTGGCATAGTCAAATCTTTATAGATTTAGCACAAAAAATGTTAGGCAGAATGCTGCACCATTTTAGCCACTCCCCCTCATGCCTGAATAGACTTCCTTATCAAAGGTATGCAAACAGTCTCAGCCACAACAGCGCTGAGTGAGATGTTTTTTTATTCATATTTTGGGTGCAGACAGTCACAGGAACTATAAACTGGTAGTGATATCCTTACTATATGTCTCCATGGGTGTCCTGTCCTAATGCAGGTTGTTTTGTTTCCAGATTATTCACTACCATCAGTGGCTTAGCTGTATGAAAATCTTTCTGATAAGGAAGTCTTTTTCAGGTTTGAGGGGGTGTGGCCTAGGAGGCCGGCTTATTGTGCAGCATTTTGCAAAACATTTATTTTATGCAAGAACTATAAAGTTTTGAGCCTGCAAAAATACAGCATGTTAATGAGGCCAATGCTTTAAAGTGGTATTGATGCCCAGATTGTACCTTTTACTTAAATATATTTAGTTTTAATTACTTTTATTTCTTTTTTATTAAAAATGGGAGCAAGATAGAGCTGTTTGATATAGTTTTAGTACTTATATTATGAGTAATTATTATGTTTAGTTTTTATTTTAACAAATAGAAAACACACATTATCATGTCTGTCTAGAGCAGGGGTATCTTACTATAGCATAGGAATTATAGTTCAGGGTTGGGATACCTTGGCGTGTAGTTCGAGGCAGGGTTATATTACCATGGGGAGTGTAGTTCAGGGCAGGGATATCTTACCATGGGGAGTGTAGTTCAAGGCAGGGTTATATTAACGTGGGGAGTGTAGTTCAGGGTATGGATATCTTACCATGGGGAGTGTAGTTCAGGGTAGGGATATCTTACCATGGGGAGTTTAGTTCAGGGTAGGGATATCTTACCATGGGGAGTGTAGTTCAGGGCAGGGATATCTTACCATGGGGAGTGTAGTTCAGTGTAGGGATATCTTACCATGGGGAGTGTAGTTCAAGGCAGGGTTATATTACCATGGGGAGTGTAGTTCAAGGCAGGGTTATATTACTGTGGGGAGTGTAGTTCAAGGCAGGGTTATATTAACGTGGGGAGTGTAGTTCAGGGTAGGGATATCTTAAAATGGGGAGTTTAGTTCAGGGTAGGAATATCTTACCATGGGGAGTGTAGTTCAGGAAAGGGATATTTTACCATGGGGAGTGTAGTTCAGGGTAGGGATATCTTACCATGGGGAGTTTAGTTCAGGGTAGGGATATCTTACCATGGGGAGTGTAGTTCAGGGTAGGGATATCTTACCATGGGGAGTGTAGTTCAGGGTAGGGATATCTTACCATGGGGAGTTTAGTTCAGGGTAGGGATATCTTACCATGGGGAGTGTAGTTCAGGGTAGGGATATCTTACCATGGGGAGTGTAGTTCAGCGTAGGGATATCTTACCATGGGGAGTGTAGTCTAGGGATACCATGGGGAGTTTAGTTCAGTGTAGGGACATCTCACGCATGGGGAGGAAGTCTGGCTGCAGGGCTATATTACCGTGGGGAGTGTAGTTCACAGCAGGGTTATACACCTGGGAGTGTAGTTCAGGGTTAAAACAGATGTCCAATCTGCAGTCGGGTTATATGGGTCACCAGCTGTCTAGGGTTCACTCACTCACTGACATGGGGAGGAAGTCTAGGGTAGGGATATCTACCATGGGGAGGTGCAGTTCAGGTAGGACATACTCATGGGGAGTGTAGTTCAGGGTAGGTACATCTTACCATGGGGGAGTGTAGTTCAAGGCAGGGTTATATTAATGTGGGGAGTGTAGTCACACAGGAAGTTATATTGTGTGGGGGGAGTGTAGTTCAGGGTTAAACAGATGTCCAACTGCAGCCGTGGGTTATACCAGCTGCTTGTCTAGGGTTCACCACCACTGACATCTTACCGTGGGGAGTAGTTCAGGGTAGGGATATCTTACCATGGGGAGTGTAGTTCAGGTAGTGGATATCTACCATGGGGAGTGAAGTTCAGGGTAGGCATATCTTTACCATGGGGAGTGTAGTTCAAGGCAGGGTTATATTATCAGAGTGTTCAAGGTAATATATTAATGTGGGGGAGTGTAGTTCAGGTAGGGATATCTACCGTGGGGAGTGTAGTTCAGGCAGGGACATCTTACCATGGGGAGTGTAGTCTAGGTAGGGATATCTTACCGTGGGGAGTGTAGTTCAGGGCAGGGATATCTTACCATGGGGAGTGTAGTTCAGGGTAGGGATATCTTATCATGGGGAGTGTAGTTCAGGGCAGGGATATCTTACCATGGGGAGTGTAGTTCAAGGCAGGGTTATATTACCATGGGGAGTGTAGTTCAAGGCAGGGTTATATTAACGTGGGGAGTGTAGTTCAGGGCAGGGATATTTTACCATGGGGAGTGTAGTTCAGGGTAGGGATATCTTACCATGGGGAGTGTAGTTCAGGGTAGGGATATCTTACCATGGGGAGTTTAGTTCAGGGTAGGGATATCTTACCATGGGAAGTGTAGTTCAGGGTAGGGATATCTTACCATGGGGAGTTTAGTTCAGGGTAGGGATATCTTACCATGGGGAGTGTAGTTCAGGGTAGGGATATCTTACCATGGGGAGTGTAGTTCAGGGTAGGGATATCTTACCATGGGGAGTTTAGTTCAGGGTAGGGATATCTTAAAATGGGGAGTTTAGTTCAGGGTAGGAATATCTTACCATGGGGAGTGTAGTTCAGGAAAGGGATATTTTACCATGGGGAGTGTAGTTCAGGGTAGGGATATCTTACCATGGGGAGTGTAGTTCAGGGTAGGGATATCTTACCATGGGGAGTGTAGTTCAGGGCAGGGATATCTCACCATGGGGAGTGTAGTTCAGGGTAGGGATATCTTACTGTGGGGAGTGTAGTTCAGGGCAGGGATATCTTACCGTGGGGAGTGTAGTTCAGGGCAGGGATATCTTACCGTGGGGAGTGTAGTTCAGGGTAGGGATATCTTACCATGGGGAGTGTAGTTCAGGGTAGGGATTTCTTACCGTGGGGAGTGTAGTTCAGGGCAGGGATATCTTACCGTGGGGAGTGTAGTTCAGGGTAGGGATATCTTACCATGGGGAGTGATGTCCAACTGCAGCCGGTGGGTTAAGGGTCACCAGCGGTTGTCTAGGGTTCACTCACTAGTGACATAAAACCTTTGCCACCTTTGCATGAAGAACTTACAGGGCACTCATGTAGAGATGTTCTGAGGTTAAAAACAAGTGCTAAGGCCATATTTTAAACATCACCTTGAAGAATTTGTCGATTTTGCTGAGGTTGATTCTCTTCTTTGCATCCAATTTATAAATGTTACTGACATTTCCATCCATTAGATACAATCCAAATCCCATTACCTGAAACATTGAAAAACACTCTCACACATACAGATTAAGCATATTGACATTAGATGGCATATGTGGCCCAGAGCCAAGGCCACCATTAATGAGTAGGGCAGTAGTTTAGTAAAGGTCCCTTTTGGGACTGGACTTCTCCCTAACCAGGAAGAGACTTTTATGCCATAAACACATGTTCAGTAGAGAATGTGGATATACATAGATTATCCTCCAAGAGCAGTTCTATTCATCATTTAGGAGTGGAACTTTTCTACAAACTGATAAGACCATATCATGGTTGTAGTTATGGTGCCTAGAGAGTATCTTTAAAGAATTGCGACAATACCATCATGAAGTACGCATTCTTCCTGACAATCTTTTAAGGATACACAGAACGAATGAAAGCTAGATCAAGAAATAACGCAATCTTCAATGTTCCTTAACACATTTTCAATTTGTAACTTTTTGTCTACTAAGTGAAAATCATTTCACATGTCTAATATATTTATTACAACTAATTACTTGGTTTACATGTATGGATCCATACAAGAACAAAACTGTTCATAAATTAGAGTATGCAATAATGGAAGGTGTCAATCTGATAATTTGACTAACACAGTTTACTTTTTTACATTTGTGTTTCATGGAAAAAAATCTTCTATCCTGAATTTACTCAACTAATCTCAACTGTTATGCTTTATGAAAATTCCACTCTAACGTAAGAAACGTGTCACTTAAATCAATCATGCACCCAATTCAACGAATAACAAACTGTTTTACCTTGAGAAGCATGTGTTTTTCACTTGGAGTAAGGTACATTTTGTTTTCATAATAATCAACACAGATATTCACAATGTCAGCCAAAAGCTCCTCATATCCAGGAATCACCTCTAGCTGTTGGTGCAGACACTAAGAACAAAGAAAAAAAAAAAAAAAAAAAGGTTTGCACTATCCTAAATTCCTCGAATGTCTTTTTTCATTTATTCGAAAACTTTGGCAGCTGTGACACGTACGGTTAAATTTTGAATGGTGAAGTATAGATATATGCATCATGCCAGGTATATCCCAAAGCTGCATATCAGTACTATGTTTAGATTATACGACTGGATTTTTAAGATGCACCTCAAAAAATATAAGTTCTGCATGATAGGTGGTCCTAAAACATAATTACTGTTATATTATTTTTGAATAGATGAATTAAAATTGTGCATTACTTCAATCAATTTTATACAGCCTTTCACAGATAAAGCACACACCTGCAATCTTTTTGGACATGATCGTAATATAGGGTGATTAATAAGTTTGATGTACTGCTTGTTTTGGAGCAACAAATTCTACTGAAATGTCTCCTATTATTATTATTTATTATTATTATTTTATTATTTATATAGCGCCAACAAATTCCGTAGCGCTGTACAATGGGTGGACTAACAGACACATAATTGAGATCAGACCACTGACGTACAGGAACAGAGGGGGTTGAGGGCCCTGCTCGATGAGCTTACATGCTAGAGGTTTATTTCTTAAATAAAACCCTCAGTCCATATGCAGATCAGTCTATATTTGCATTCAAACTCATTGATTAGAACACAGCCCCTCCCATGCAGTCACATTTACAATACCAATACTACATGGGCCACTTTTATCCTAAACACACTCCTCTTATATGACATTTAGCCCACAACAACCTTTGCCACGACAAGGAAAACCTTAAGGGGACACTCTAGTCACCAGACCAACTACAGTTTAATGTTGTTGTTCTGGTGAGTATAGTCAGTCCCTGCAGGCTTTTTGCAGAAAACACTGTCTTTTCGTAGAAAAGGCAGTGTTTACATTAAAGTGTAGGGACACCTGCAGTGGCCACTTGTTAGATGTCCACTGGACATGCTTCCTGGCAGCTCAGCACTGAACTTTCCTCATAGAGGATTCAATCAGGGCCGTCTTTAACGCGGGGCAAACGGGGCGGCAGGAGCCAGTTGCTCCTGGGGGGCTCCAGAGCAGCTGCCCCACGATTTGAGCAGCCCCCATGGACCTGGCGGTGTGGCTGCACAGAGCTAAGGGCCACCCAATGAGCATGTGTCATCAGGAGCCCGGTCGGGTGCTGTGACACTTAAACAGGGCGACTAGGCCCCTTCCTGTTCGGCAGCCGGGTTAGAGGAAGTGAGTGCCGCGCTTCACTTTCTCCCACCGGAGATCACAACCGCACAGGAGGAGAAAGACAGGAGGAGGGAAGTTCCATAAGAGAACTCCCAACTGCCTTAGCCTGCCACTGGACCAGGGAAACCACCCTCCAGAAAAAAGAACCCGGAGGGTGGCTAAATAAATGTCAGTATGTCTGTGTATGTGTGTGTCAGTATGTCTGTGTGTGTATGTGGGTATGTGTATGTCTGTGTGTGTGTGTGTGTGTCAGTATGTCTGTGTGTGTGTGTCAGTATGCCTGTTTGTGTGTCAGTATGTCTGTGTGTTTGTCAGTATGTCTGTGTGTTTGTCAGTATGTCTGCATGTGTGTGTGTCAGTATGCCTGTGCATGTCAGCATGTCTGTGTGTGTGTGTCAATACGTCTGTCAGTGTATGTGTCTGTGTGTGTCAGTATATCTGTCAGTGTATGTGTCTGTGTGTGTGTGTATGTCTGTTTGTGTGTGTGTCAGTATGTCTGTGTGTTTAGCATGCCTGTGTGTGTGTCAGTATGTCTGTCTGTGTGTCAGTATGTCTGTGTGTTTGTCAGTATGTCTGCCTGTGTGTGTGTGTGTCAGTATGCCTGTGTGTGTGTCAGCATGTCTGTGTGTGTGTCAGCATGTCTGTGTGTTTGTGTCAATACGTCTGTCAGTGTATGTGTCTGTGTGTGTCAGTATATCTGTCAGTGTATGTGTCTGTGTGTGTATTTATGCATGTGTGTCTGTGTGTGTGTGTCAGTATGTCTGAATGTGTGTCAATATGTCTGCCAGTATATATTTGTGTTTCAGTGTATGTGTGTGTCAGTATGTATCTGCGAATGTTTTAATATGTCTGTCTGTGTGTGTATGTGTCAGTGTGAATGCGGGTTTGGCGTAATTGAGGGGTGGAGGGGTGAGAGGAGCAGGGCCCAGGAGGTCCAAGAAAATGCATTGTCCAGGGTCCTAATCATATTATATATGGCCCTGGATTCAATACATCCCTGGATTCAATGCTGATTGGCCAGGGCAGCTTTTGGACCAACCCCCACCTCCTTGCCACTCCCATCAAATCTAATGCTCTCCTTGTGGGAAAGCATTGGATTGGCTAAGATCATCAATTCTGATGATGTCAGACAACGAGGTGGATTGGGGGCAGGGCCAATGCTTGCAGACTTGTGGAGAGCTGGCAATAAGGCAGGTTTTAACCTTTTCTAAGGGAGCAAGGTTAGGGGGTAAGCCACCTAAATGGTGTTTTAACACTATTTGGTCAGGAATACATGTATGATTTCCTAACCTTATAGTGTTCTTTTAACCCCTTAATATGTAAAAAGGGAAAGAAAATATTGGGGCGGAGTATGAGAACTGCATATCCTGGAATGCTTTAGTTTAGTAATACACATACTGCATTTCTACAGGACTATTGACACTCACCTGTGTAATCCGATTGTGATTGGCTAGAAACATTGAAAGATTCTGCGATTCTTGTATAGACTGGGGGTCAGCCATCTTTCTAAGAAACTGAGCAGCTCTGCCAGAGACATAAACCAGGTACTGAAATTACCAAGAGCTTTTAATGAAAGTGCTACTGAAAACATTTTAACAATGTGTAAATAGAAAAAAAAGTATCCTTTTTTTTAATAACAGAAGAACTGTAATCTGTGAAATCCAGCTAAAAGTGTGTTATTTTTTTCTTTAAAATTTTCTTACTATATTCAAATTTATCTTGTGGATAAACTTAATATGCTAAAGCAGCGGTTCCCAAATTGTATGCTGCGTGCCCGGAGATATTTTCCTGGTGCTATAATCATAGCACCGGGAATTGTGCTCTCCCCTGCCGGCTCTGCAGGACCGGAGGGGAGATCAGAGATCTCCCTCTCCGACCCGCTAGCACTTTGCGGACAGCCGGCAGGGGAGGGAGAGAGGACCAGGGGGAGCTCTAACGTGCAGCTTCACAGAGTTCTCCTCTCGCAAGTTCGGAACATTGCCGCGGTTACCAATGCAATGTTCCGATTCTCGCAAGAGTGAACTGTAGCAGCTCTTGAGGCTGCTAGAGTACACTCTCACCACTGGGACCACCAGGGCTTCCCCAGACCACCAGGGATTGCAAAAAATGTCCCACCTCCCAGGCAAAGGTAAGCAGGGAGAGGGGATATCATTTTTATTTTTAATAAAAATAAAAAAAGTATATATTTATTAATTTGCCCTCCTACCCACACAGACCCCACACCACACAACAGCTCCCCTATATACACACTACCCCCTCACACACACAATTACCCCTACCATACACACACTATCCCCCATACACACACACTACGCCCATACATACACACTACCACCCATACACACATTTACCCCCTCATACACACACTGCCCCCCCATACACACACTACCCCCCTATAGACACCCATTGCCTCCTCATACACACACATTGCCTCCCCATACACACTGCCCCCCCATACACACACACTGTACCCCTCACACACACTGCCACCCACACTGCGCCCCCCCACACAACCTGCCCCAAAACACACACACACTGTACCCCTCATGCATTAACTGCCCCACATACATACACACTGCACCCCTCACACACACACACAAACTACATCCTTTACAAACACAACGCACCCCTGTACACACAGTGCACCCCTCACACACATACGCACACTGCATCCCTGTACACACACACGCACCCCTCACACACACACTCCACCACTCACACACACATATTGCACCCCTCACACAAAAATATTGCACCCCACACACACATATTGCACCACACACACACACACTACAGCCCCTATCCCGGCAGACCCCAGGTAAGTTGTCAAAGTTTTCTTAAACAGTTTGACTACTTACCCTGGGTGGGCACTACGGCACTACTGACACCATAACCACTACAACGTAATGTAGTGGTAATTGTGACTGGATTGTTTCTTTAAAAAAATCTACCAGTGCCATTTCCAAGATTTGGGGCCCAGTATATGCCGCATCGCTGTACATATATATAACCTAGAAAATTGTTGTCCATCCAATGAGGAAGTGGCCTGGTGTACAAACAAACACCAAATCAGCTTACACTGTACTCTTGGACCACAAATGTTTATAAATTAAAACAATCAGACGACTAGAGATCATGTACACCTCTCCACTGCCAGTACACTAATATCTGGACATGGTAAATCATGTCATGCATTCTTACACCTAGCTGCCCACTTTCCAATCCAGTCTACCACTAGGGTATACTGGTAGAAACCTGTATAAACACATGCACATACTTTCCAGATCTAGCCACCCTGCGTTCTCTCACCGTTTATAAGCAGAGTGATCATTTTTCACGCTGCACTTCATGTTTTTCAGCTCATCCAGCACCGCAAACATGTTAATGAATTTGCCCAGAGTAAGCAGATATGCCTCGGAAACAAAATCCTTCCTGCGCTCAGCGTGGCACAATCGCTTCACCTCATTACAGAATCTCTCTATTGCTTTGCGCTGCAGGGATAACAAGTAGAATGTTAAAAGTTAATCACCATGGCGACATTTTGTACAATGGGCTTTTGTCGGAGTGTCAAGAAATGTTGTCTCTTCTGAATCCTATTAAAATTAACACAATTTATTTTTTGCACAAATAAAGTGTATAGAAATTAAAAGGAAAAGTTGCATCAAATTTTATTTTTCTGTTAAAATGCTTCACTGCAAAATAGAAGCAAAGAAAATAATTTAAATTAAAAAGTAAGAAAAATTGCTTTTCATTTTAAAACCTAACATTTTTATTGTTCATAGAGACCTGAATGAAAGCGGCAGGTTCCTCCCCAGCACTTCCTGTTTTCACCTCAGGTTCCTGTATGACACAGTCTGTTATTTGCTTTCTTTCTCCTGCTTTTGCTTAATGAGGGCAGCTGGACTGTACACATTTATTGGCTCTTTTGACAGGGATTGTCATTGCTGTAGCTATGAGAATTTGTTCGAAAGAGCACCTAACCACCTTTGGGAGAGGTTGCAGAGTAGAACAATGCTGTTTACGTGGAGAGTTTTTATCACTTACCTGAAAATACATAAACTTCATCAATTTTGTGACTTCTGGCTCTAAAACTTCCACCGTCTTCTCATAAATTTCTACACGATTTGGTTGCTCATTGCATTTTACCTGTAATAGGAAATCAGATAAGTGTATGTTTACATTAAATAACTATTTCTATACAATATTCCCAAAGTGTACTGTAAATAATGAATAAAAAACAAGTTTCAGAAGAGCACAAAAACATTTAAGTATCATTCTGCCTGCCTATCTCTCTGCCTATCTATCTATATATCTATCGCTCTTCCATCCTTTCATACAAGTCCCTGATAAAATTGGGAAAGTAGTCACTGTAATTAACATGAGGCAAGAGTTTCTTGTAGCCCTGGAATCAGCATACACAGGGAATATGTGTGATACATTTGTTTTCATTAGTTCTGTGGTTCCCCTATGCATTGTCCCTGGAGTTATTTTTTTCCTAACGCTATAAAAAGAGAACAAATGTGCTCCTACATAAGAATGTGACTTTTCTTGAGACATTCTGTGCCATCTAATCTTTCATATAGCAATGACATATTCTGTAGCGCTGTACAATAGAGGGAAAAAAGACAAATAATGAACATGTACTGATACAATACTATATGACTCCATATCTTATCTTGGTGTCCTCAGTCACTATGAGGGGCAGAAATGAAACTGGCAGCACTACAGAATTTAAATCTCTATTTCTTAAATAAATACATTATTTGGTCACCTTGGTGCGCTGTTTATTGTTTGTCTGGCTCCTGGGCCTGATAACACACTCACCTGTGGAATGGCTCGAGAACAGCTTCTCCAGGTATACAACATGACAGCATACTCCTGCCCCTCCTCCAACATCTCATTCTGTAAAAAAACAATTGCAATTTCTAAGTAAAATTCCCATCTACACCAGTCTATATGCTCTCCTGATGGTAAATCATAAAGTAGATTCTTAGCATCTGTAGCTTTGCTGTAAACAAACTTATATCATCACCAACTGTATGTCTACCAACATTTTTAGCAACTTCACTCTTCTGGAACCATGTTTGTGGCTGGACTACCTAGAACATAAATTTTGCTTAATTTGACAAGAGTGAGCGAATTCTAATTCATCAAGCAACTTCCTGGTCTGAAAAGCAGTATTGTGCAGCTGAAGACTGTCTCTTCAAGCATAGTACCAACAATTGCAATGAAGGTATATTTTTATTTTAAATTAAGTGCAGGTCTAGGCAACCTTTCAGCAGCACTGTATCAAAACAAGACTGAAGTCCCTCAGCGTGCAGGTCCTATTTTATTTTTTAAAGTTGTATTTTGCCATAGTCTGCTTGTATTATGCATGAATGCTGCAGCTGCTTTGTAGGGTTGCGTTTGTGTGTATGTGGACTGTGTTATATTGCTTATGTGCGTGAGAAATTTGTGGTATTGCATGTGTTACGTACGTATGTGGGCTGTGTATCATGTTATGTGTGTGACTGCGCTCTTACTTAATTAGATGGCTAACTGTGAGATTGTTTTTTTTGGTGATATGTTGTATTGTGTGTGTGTAGTGTTGTGTGTTGATGTGTGGGTGGGATGTTTGTAGTATTTGCATGTGGTGTATGTCTCGCTGTTTGGATGGATAAATTATAACATTAGAAAGTGCATAAAATATATTTTGAAGGAATGTGGAGCTCATAACATTTTGCTTTTTATAATCATTTTATCATATAATATAAAAGATACTTGCCATGCTTGAATGCACAGTTGCTTGCTCAATGTATCGGGCTATTCCTGTTACAAATGCATTACGATCTTCAAAGTTGGTGTCAAAGTTAGCCTGTGAGAATTTGAGATAGAAAGCTTTAATGTAGAGCAATATACCCCTTAATTCCTTATCCCAGCCTTTAAAAACTTTATGACTAATTACAGACAAATCAATTCCTGCTGTGGCAATCCTGATATGTCTTTGTTACTGAACAAGTAAGAACTGCTGCTGTGTAGATAGGGTTGGACACAAACATATACACAATGTTCACATTGCAAACTGGATACACTGAAGTGTTCATCTTCATATCTCCGTTAAAGCATTTATATCCTTAGTAGATCCTTCTAAACAGAAAAGGCCCAGCTCCACACTTTTATTAATGTTTCCATATTGATACACAATAATGAAAATATTTTATCTTATTACTAAATATGTCATAATGCTAATCTGTCCAACAACAATGTTAGGCAGGTAGAGAAATATATATAATAATAATAATAATAATAATAATAATAATAATAATAACATAGTAATAACAATAATAATACCTGGTACATGATGGATGAAGGTGGAGGTTCAATGCATGGCTGCTGGTCGGGGAGGGGCAGCTCCTCCAGAAGGTCCACGTTGGATAACGCATCTTCCAGCGTTACGTGGGTTGTCATGGTTACTAAATCCGGTAGCAACAGTCTCGAGAAGGTTTAGTTACAATAGTCTGAGGGGAAAATTTTTTATAAAACACAATTTATTCACAAATGAACTTAAACAAAAAAAATGTCTGTTAGGAAATTAATTACATTAATATTATTACGTTATTATTATAACATATTACATTACAAACGTGCTGAGCATCTTAAAAACACGCTCAATTTTAGTCATTCAAATTGTTCCTAGTCTTCAATCATTTAAAGGAACACTCCAGTTTCAAACTGATGATGTCTAGAGTGTTCTACTAACCATGTAGATGCCAGGTACCCCAGTACAGCAAAAATAAGGATAATTTACCCTTTTCGCTTGCGGATTGTCTAATGACTAATGCTTCCCTATGGAAGCTTTCACTTCCTCTTAAATGATTATCAAACAGTGTGAATCAGGAAGCCCTCCTGGAAGTCAGCTTAATTGTTCCAAATTATTTCATAATAGTGACAACTTTTCATATAAATCATCAATTTTATGATTGGGGACAAGAGTTAATCCCTAAGGCAAGCAAAAGTGCTTTCAGGATCTGGAGTGTACCAGACAGCCACTAGAGCCACTTCACGCTGTTTCACAGAATTTGACTCTGGACGCTTTGCATGAGGGCGTCCATTGTCTTGAAAATCCCCTTAGGGAGTAAATGCTTTCCAATTGGGAAGGCCTAATGTGCACAGGGTGCTCTCTGTGCATGCTCATTAGGCTCCCCCTCGCGATGCCGTTGGAAGAGGCAGAGACAAGGACAGCACTGTGGGACTTTGGCGCTGGAAACTGGTAAGTGTTTATAGGGTTTTTAACTTTTAGAGTGCGGAGGAAGAGGGCTGGGGCGCAAGGGCAGAGGGACACTCTAGTGTTAGGAACACAACTTTGTATTCCTAAAACTATAGTTTTCCTTTAAGTCTTTCAGTGCCAAGTTTAAAGGACTACTATAGTGCCAGGAAAACATACTCGTTTTCCTGGCACTATAGTGCCCTGAGGGTGCCCCCACCCTCAGGGTACCCCTCCCGCCTGGCTCTGGAAAGGGGTTAAACTTACCTTTTTCCAGCGCTGGGCGGGGAGCTCTCCTCCTCCGATCCTCCTCCTGGGCTGAATGCGCACGCACGGCAAGAGCTGCGCGCGCATTCAGCCGGTCACATAATAAAGCGTTCATAAACCTTATGGACGCTTGCATGCTCTCACTGTGAAAATCACAGTGAGAAGCAAGCGCCTCTAGTGGCTGTCAATGAGACAGCCACTAGAGGAAATAGGGGAAGGCTTAACCCATTCATAAACATAGCAGTTTCTCTGAAACTGCTATGTTTATGAAAAAATGGGTTAACCCTAGCTGGACCTGGCACCCAGACCACTTCATTAAGCTGAAGTGGTCTGGGTGCCTAGAGTGGTCCTTTAACATGTCCAACAGTTCAGAATACAGAGACCAGAATGAGAGGTTCTTAACTAATCAAGTCATAATTAGCCAAATGAGTTGCTGGTGTGAGGGTTTTCACCAGAAGAAGGTACTTTAAAGGTGATATAAATGTATATTTTTAAAGGAACACTGTAGTCACCTAAATTACTTTAGCTGAATAAAGCAGTTTTAGTGTATAGATCATTCCCCTGCAATTTCACTGCTCAATTCACTGTCATTTAGGAGTTAAATCACTTTGTTTCTGTTTATGCAGCCCTAGCCACACCTCCCCTGGCTATGATTGACAGAGCCTGCATGAAAAAAAACAAACTGGTTTCACTTTCAAACAGATGTAATTTACCTTAAATAATTGTATCTCAATCTCTAAATTGAACTTTAATCACATACAGGAGGCTCTTGCAGGGTCTAGCAAGCTATTAACATAGCAGGGGATAAGAAAATCTTAATTAAACAGAACTTGCAATAAAGAAAGCCTAAATAGGGCTCTCTTTACAGGAAGTGTTTATGGAAGGCTGTGCAAGTCACATGCAGGGAGGTGTGACTAGGGTTCATAAACAAAGGGATTTAACTCCTAAATGGCAGAGGATTGAGCAGTGAGGCTGCAGGGGCATGTTCTATACACCAAAACTGCTTCATTAAGCTAAAGTTGTTCAGGTTATAGTGTTCCTTTAATGTCTTTTTTTGCATAGATTTTTACTGAAGTATTTATATAATGTGTTGGAACTCTTGGGAGCAACGTTCATCCTGGAGTGACCTATTAACAGTAAGAAATATTTTTACAAAAAAATGTTGTTGTCATTTGGCATAATGGACAAGTATTACAGTTACAAACAGGGAAGACTTTTAATAAAGCTGTACATTAAAAATATAATTCTACAATAAATATGATATATATCAGGGACTGAAGATATGCTGTAGAAAATATATAAGTCATTATTTAACAGTTGTGGATTATTGAATAGCAGATTTAGGTGCAGTATTATTTTTACAGTTTTTTATGAAAGAATTAAGCCACTGTTCAGAATACACCAAACCCCTTTCATTTAAAGGACCACTCAAAAACACCATAACCACTACAGCCCAATGTAGTTGCTATGGTGTCAGGAGTGCCCTGGAGCCCCACTAATGTAAGTAGTCAATTAGTTAGCTAAGCTCATTGGCTTAAATCGATCAGCTGAATTTTATATTCTTTTTTTAAATACAGGATATATTGATTATTTATATTGGTTTCCCAGTTTGTATATATTTTTTTGCAATTGGGTTACTAATATAAAACTATTATGCCATTCTGTATTAGGTTTCAAAGCCAAGAGAAGAGGAAGTAAAAATAGAGAGGCCAGTTCTTTTTAATTTAATATGACTCTTTAGTGCAAGTATTTATTTATTTATAAAATATTTTACCAGGAAAGATACATTGAGATTTCTCTAGTTTTCAAATATGTCCTGGGTTTTCAAATATGTCCAATTTAACAACTGTAGCATGCCTGAGCTGCATAACAAGTTGCAGAGGCACCACTTTTAGATCTCCATAGATGTTCCAGTTGGTACTGGATGTGCCTCTACAACAGTTCCATATTTCTCTATATTTTTTTTTCATGTGTGCCGCATAGCCAGCAAGTATTTAAGGGTGGACATTGCAACTGTGTCAGAAGGCAGCCTTGAGCCTTAACAGTGATTAATCAACAAAGGTGCCATTCTTGTGGGTCACGCTCACAACCCAAACAACTGTCAATGTCAGTACAGAAAATGAAATGGTTAACCTGTGCAAAACTATTCGTACCTGTTGAAAGTAAACACTATCCGTGCAGTCTTGAACCCAGTAGTTCTGATTTTGCTTTTAAAAATCCAAAGTCCCTGATCAGGTTCTTTAATTCTGACTGTGTTATGATCATCACACATACATAGTTAAAAATCTGGATAAATGCATGCCAAGCTGCTGCATTGCAGCATCTCCACCTATTTTCTCTAAGCTGCATTTCTGGTGTCTTCGGTACTGGAAGACTATTGTCATGTGGCACTGATCTTATTGCTGAAGGCTGATTGGGGCATTCACTTGATTTCTTATTTTCAACAGAGAAACCAGAGACATTTTTCAGACATAAGTAACAGTTTGTCAAGTCATCCTTCTATCATTGGGAGAGGACAGTAAATGGAATTGCCTTCTGAACCACTGAGCCAAGTTCTAAGATAGACACCGCATCTTGCACAACAAAAGTGGTGATCACCAATCTTACAACCAAACTAAATCAAAAGAATTGAATTTTTTTTACACTTGCCCCTTCATTCCTGCTTCACTACAAAACTCAGTTATTCTTAGTAAATGAGTTTGACAGCCGTGCACTACATCTTCAAACAGTTTCAGCAAGGGCTGCAGCCATCATCACATGCTGCCTACGCTAAGCTTGCCTTCAGATAGAACATTTAATGTGCAGTAACTGAGGTAAACTTCAAACACAGTTCTGCTGTGTAGAAAGGAAATTCTGCAGGGAGCCATTTAAAAGCATCCTCCTTGTATGTTTTTATAGTATTTCCTTTTAGGTTATAATCTATTATCTATTTTTACATTAGATGGAACATACAATATTAAAAAAAAACAAGCATATTATCTGAGCTTCTGAAGCACTGGGAGTGATATTAGTCAGCAACTTTCTGTAACATGCAGACGGCTATGAGACTCTTGTTGACCACATACTATCTGATGCTTAGTGAGCAAAGGCTTTGCATAACAAGAGAAATAAGGAGATGTGCAAAAGACACTTCCTATCAGCTATTTTATTTCAATAAAGCATAGTAATAATTAAGATTATTATGTATGTACCTTTAGAATGGAAGCTCATTTGAGCAGGGCCCTCAGCACCTTCTGTTCCTGTACATCCAACTTGTTTTGTAGCAACTACTTGCTTATTAGTTCACCTATTGTACATGCGCTGTGGAATTGGTTGGTGCTTTATAAATAATAATAATAATATGTATGTATAACAGGAGTAGTGACTGGAAATGTTCACATTACATTTTAATTTGTATACACAGGATTACATCTTTTGCTAGAAATTGTGACCGATTTGTAGTTGTTAGTAAAGTGTGGTTGTGTTAACACTGGTTGTAGTGTAATTACATAGTTTTTTTTATATCCACAAACTAAGCAGGGTCTTTCCATGACTCAAAATGATTTTTACTTTGTTCTCAGAGCTGCAAAATATGTTATGCCATCCCATTTAGACTCTTGTTTTTACACAAAAAATCAAATAAAAGTTTAAAGATTTTTTTTATATATATATGGGAACAGTTCCTGCACACTTAGTTTAATCTATGATTTTAATAATAAATTTGAGTGAGACTCAGCCTTAAGTTGATGGTGGATTGATGCTCTATTGAGTAGGCACTTGTGGGTGTCCTTCACATTTTGCTGTACCAAGAAATTCCACTGTACGAACATGCGGCCCGCTTGACTGGTGGCCTGGTGAACAGGGGAGGCGGGCGATCCCCTAAATCGGGGTTTGTTTGACCAGTAACTTGTCTGTTGGCCCTTCTGGAGATATCTCCGACCAGCCGCCCAGGTGCCCGGAGGGTTCCCTGAATCCCAGAGTGCCATTGGACCCACGCTCATGCCGAATGGAGGTAGAGGGTCCTGGACTATGTGGATGTGTCTCTGCTTACAGTTAGGGCTCTGAGAGGTGAAAAATCTTCTTGCCTATCACAGTTCTTCAGCATGAAACTTGGCTGGTGCAGTGTGTGGGGGAGAGATGGTATTGTCTGACATTGAGACAAACCATATCCTGAGGCATGCCTGTAGCATTGAATAGATCCATGCATCCTTTCTGGTGGAGATTCTACTTATTCATTGCTGCCAACCTGTTACCTGTATAGAGATTACTGTTTTTCTTTTTACTCTCTTCTACTGTGACCAGTACCCAGTGGCCCTAGAGCTATTTTGTTAAATATGTTAGTTCAGCATGTGTGATCATTTTTATGTAGTTTACTTCCTCCATGTCTGGAGGCCTTCCTTATTCTATAAGCTCCACAGATGCTCTTATTATCCTGTCCTGTCTTCCTTGCCCGCTTGACTGAGATATTGTTTACTTACTCTTAATGTCTAAACTAATGTCTTAGCTCACTGATTTTGATATGGAAAGGCCTTCCAGATATGTATGTTTAGCCTGTTGTTGGTTTTTTTTTTTAATGTAAAAATGCAGTATTGCTCTAAAAATGTACAGATTCATACCTACATTATATCCTGAATGTAACTTTGATTGCATATTTCTGATGTTATGGCGCTATAAGTCCATTTGTATTCACATGCACTTCAAAAACAAACAATTTACACAGCTTTCCACTCAGTGCTTAATGGGAACTTTCCCTTCACAGAATTTTTATTATTATGTTTACAAATATGTGTTTATGAGGTGTGAAAGATAATATTATGTGTAGAAATCCAAACCACTGTATTTATCCCTGTGCTGTGTGCCTCCATCTTGCCTCTCTGTCAGTCAATCTTATAAGCTTTGCCCTTTTTATATCACTTTGCCTTTAAAAAGTATGCCAATATCAAGTTATCTTACACAACCGTCTCATATTAAAGGGGCAGTAAGGCAACGTCTGTTGTTATTGATCTATGTGGCCATCTAATATTTAAAGGAACATTTCAAGCACCATACCCACTACAGAGAGTACCCTGGCACTCTCCCACAGTAAGTAGTGAAATCGTTTAAGAGGGGTTTGACAACTTACCTGGGATATGCTAGGCACCTCTCCTGAAGCTCCTCGCAGGCTAAAGTAATTATGTTGCTTGAGCTGTTCCTTTAAATTGATACTATAGGCACCAAAACCCCTTAATCTCAGTCAGTCAATGAAAATGAAGTAGCCTGGGTTCCATGTCCCTGTCGTTTTAACCCTGCAACTGAAAATATTGTTTATACTGCAGAGAAGAAATGCCTCTTGTGGCTGACCCTCTCACATCCACTAGAGGTGCTTCTGTCCAAATAGTCAAGTGATTCTCAGCTTGAAGTGCTTTATTTAGCAGAAATAGGGGGCAATGGGGGTGGGGGTAACTATATAGTTAGGAATACACATTTGTTTTCCTAATGCCACAGTGTTTCTTTAAGTTTTTATAGAAACTTAGCTAAAACACTTACCTTCAGTTTTATTTAGTGACATTTCAGGTTCAGTGAATAAACCCAGCCACTCAGGGTAAGCAAGATACACAACCATCCTGGAATCCAGCTCCAGTCAATCCATGATGATGGCAGAAAAACATTTTTTTTGTTGTTTGCACATTTTTTTAAACGAATCTACATAATTTTAGTTGTATAATTTACACCTCATGACTTTCTGTCATGCTATACAGTTTAATTTAGTTTAGCATGTGATATTTCATATGAGTGAGTGTGTGCATTGCACAATGGAATGCTTTCCATTCTACTGTAGACATTCAGGTACACAGGCATGCCCAGAGTATCATGGGGCGATAATATACCCCGAAGATAGAAATGTGAGGTAAGTGCATTTTTTTTACCACTGCACTACACAACCCAACAAATCATTCAATAGTATTTACCAGGCAAGGCAAAGAGGAACTGTAAATCGCAGAGAATGTTATTTCGTTAGTATTTCACAGGTGATCAGATAAAATAACTATGCATTCGCGTTTACTTTAAAGGTGTATTTTCTGGAAATAAATAAACATCATATTTTAATAATACTATTTAATAATACACAGCAAGACAATTTCTTCACCAGCACAAACACCTGTCTGGTGGCTGATGGCATTTCAAAGGACAGTAGAAAGCAAATAATCATTGTAAAAGATTCCAAATGCTTTGAAGTGGGATATTTAAACTGTGGCAAAACAGCAATTGAAATAAGGGGCTGACAAGATGTGAGCAGCACCTCCCATAAGAATGGATTTACAGTGGTTTAAATCCCCTGCTGTACCACTGTAATCTGATGGACCATCTCACACCACTAATTCCTCACCTGCCACTTACGGAACTTATATTTTGTTTATTCACAGCATATTTTTCTATTTGAAAAGCAACAACAATGTGTTAATTTGTTAATTTATTTTTTTGCATTAGTCTGTGTGACTGACTATATGTCTAGCTCTAGCAAATAAATTTAACAACTAAGTAATGTCTGAATACATTGCACCTGATGATATTTTTAGTTATACCCCCCTATCCTTTAGAACATGTTTGTGCTAGCAGCATGTCCCCTCTAAATTACCTGTATGTTTATCTTATGTATTACATAAATGTATGGTGTATGTTGCAAGAAAATAATAAATTAATCACTATATTTCCCCATACACCACAAATGCACTCTGCACATTCAATGCAAATTATTTCTCATGGTATTGCTCACCCTGCATAAAAATACACCAATACAGAGCACACACCGTACACGCAAAGCAAAGCCCTAAGGATACACAAGTTTAAGTTAAACAATAAAAAAAAAACTGATACGGCAGTGGGTGGCTATTTCTGCAAAAAAAATAAATTAAAAAAGCATGTGACTGCAGAGACACAAGACTAACAGAATTTCTCAGATGTACAGAGACAAAACAGCATTGGAAAAACAGTCTATTCTCAAAAATCAGTGGATCTCAAACTGTGTTTTTAAGAATACTGAACAATTACTGGATTTGAGAAACTTCCCATGTAAATGATAACATGTGGAAGCAAGTGGAAACTGTTCCTTAAATGGACACTCTGAACCCCTAAAGCCCTTTAGCTTGTTGAAATGCTTTATGTGTAAAGAGTGTGTACTATTTTCTCATTTTACAAAAAGTACGAATTTCAATAGAAATGGTCACTTTTACAAATTAAATTTGTTGCACCCCTGGGCTGTTAATCAGACAACTGTCCCTGTTACCATCTAGTTGCTCAGCTCAGTGGAGCTGAATTCCAGGTAATTGCCCAGGAGTACCTGCCTTGAAAAGACTTTTCATTGAGCTGAGTAAGTGATTGGACATTCACAGAAAGTCTGGGTGGGGGAAAGGAGAGGATTTGCAAAGACTGCAGACAATATATCTGTAGCTATCGCAAACTGTCTTAGATATACCCCTAATTAAAATAAATGCATATTTAAAATGTTTTCATTTGGAGTATATGTACTGAACAAAGTTTTTTTGTTTTTTTTTGGCCAGTGGAGTGTCCCTTAACTATTTTTTTAGGTTTCATAATAAATTTAAGAATACAGTTATACATCACTGTAACATATTTTTGATATGTTTGCATTCCAAAGCACATCTGTTGGCATTGTGTTGGCATTCAGCCTTCTGGGAAGGATGTCTGATTTTTTTTTTTCCATTGATGATCCTCTTTCCCCCTTCCAGATCTTATTGGGCTGTCCAAACATAAAAATTATCTTCCAGCCCACCTCATTGGATCTATTAATGCTCTGATCCATGCAACGTGGAAACAAATTAAGGCACCAATTCTAGAACAGTACATTTCTTATGTCAAATGAATTAGATCTATGTAAGAAAAGCAATAATCAGCCTTAGGTCTGAAAGTTAAATATAACAAAATCTGGCAACCATGGCTTGATTATTTGCTTTCTTTTTCTGAGCTCTTTCTATCTTTTCCTGAAAAATTAAGCGATTTCTGTCTCGGTTTCATTGTATTCTGTCTTAGAACTGTTTCATTGTATCTCACCTTTATTATTCTATTTAGATTGTAAGCTCACGGGCCATCTAGCCAAGCACTTTGTATAACAGAGCCCCAATGGCTAACTATCAGCTTACGGGCAGGGCTCTCTCTACCTCTTGTATTTGTCTGTGTATATTGTACGTTTCTCCACTAATTGTACAGCGCCGCGGAATCTCTGTGTGCTTTATAAATAGCAGTAATAAATAAATAAATTTGTCACTTGTTTAACTCTACTAGACAGTTTGTGGCTTTAACTGAGCGAATACATTTATTTGGTTACTTATGATTTAATTTGTTTGTTTTTTCTTATTGCTTTTTATATGTGATTCTTTTCCTGCAATATGACACTTCATTGGGTATTTTTTGGGATAAAGATTGTATCCAGTTTTCTAGTTTGATTTACAATTCATAAATGTATCCTTCATGCAAATTTTGTTACCACTCCTTATGCTCTTTATATAATGCATTGCAACTTTACTGTTGTGTCCTGCATTTATCGCCTTCTTTGTTAACATAACACTTGAAAAATGCATTACAAGTCTAATTATTTTACTTTAATATACTACATTAAAAGTATATTTAAGTTCGAAGAGGTTCTCTAAAATAAGAATGCCTTACTTGTTTTATTACATGCATTTACCCTCAGCTGGGGTGATATTGGCTGAGTTCAGAAAGAAATATAGCACTGTATCTCCTGAATGTCCCATTCCCTGGCACAGTTCCTAGGTAATGGGGGAAACCATTTTGCAAAAATCTGCCGTCTTACCTGGGTCACGACAAACACTGTCTCCTCTGCAACAGGTTTATGACATCCAGCTTTTGCAGAGTTGCAGAAGTCAGATGCCAATCCTGCCGGTAGCTCATTGGTTAATGATATACTATTGATGGTTCTGGGGGCGGAATTACACTTCCAGCAGCATCAATTGATATCTCAGTAGGTGCTGCGTGTCATACCGAAACGCTGTGCATACTGATTCCATGCACCATGACCACTTCAAAACACTGAAGTGAAGTGGTGGTGCTTGGAGTAACCCTTTAACCTATTTTTAAACATGGGTATCCATTTCAACTGTGAGAGCATATCCTTGTCGACTCTGCTAAGATATTAGAATTTTGGCATATATAATCCCTCTCCTGTAACATATTAAAGGACTGTAGTAGCATAAAAAACAAAACTGAGGTATTTGATGTGCTGCACAAATATTCCATTGGTTTCCATGGTGATCCCACACATTTTGAGAAACATGTCCCAGAACTGATTTTCAAACATACCCCACTGCTAGGATTGTTCACAAAAGTGAGGATTATAAGTGAATTTCACTAATTCAGCTATGCTTCGAGTTCAGCTCCTTTGGCCTTATATTTGAAATTCATTTTGTTTCTTCTTTGAATCCTCTCTTTAGAGAATCACCCTATATGTGCCTAATTATCACCTCTCTCACAGACATTGGGGGAGATTTATCAAAGCAAAAGCCGGTGCTATTCTGGGACAATATTCTAAATACAGAGAATTATGAAAACCAGTGGAATGCCTCACAATCATACACTTTGCACCCAAAACATCACTTGTTTTGCTTTGATATATTTCCCTCCCAGCCTGCAGACTAACAAAGCACTTCAAAATCCACTTTTTTGACTCTTGTTTTAAATATAGTATTTTGTGTTTCTACCTTTAAACAATTGACGTCTAGCTGCGTTTCACTCCTTATGCAATGAACTAAGTGGCTATAAACTTGTATTGTAGTAAAATTAAGCACAATGGTAGAACATTTTGCAGCCCTGGCTATTGGGTTCAGTTAGTAAATTTGTTAAAACTAGAAGAAATGCCATCCAACCTCCTCATCTGTTATATAGGAGCTATTCAGATTCCTCTACAGGAGGGTCACGCCGGACGACTCTTATTGGCTGAAATTATCAGCTGTATCTTACTGGATGAAAACATCAGCTATGAAACCATTATAAAAAACGGTTGGAAAAAAATAACACTGTGATGGCACCAAGGTGCTCCTGGCACCATAACCATTGCATCAATTTGCAATAGTTATGGTGCTTGGAGTTTTCCTTTAAAAAAAAAAAAAGAGAATTACAAACTAAGAAACATGCATATCTTCTTTAAAGTTTCCCAGAGTGCAGTGTTTAGCATAGCTGCAGTACAATCCTCCCATACCCCTGTATCCCTTCAACTCTGCACAACTGCAGTTTATAGGTAATATTCATCCCAAAGAGCAGTTCCACTCATCAGCTATACTGCAGCTACCTTCACAGTTTACACATAGCCCAGTTGAGTTCACCCATGCTGCACAGAAATCCTGCACAGACCAACACTTTTGTTTTTCAACTTTTTGTAGTGGTTATAGTAAAGGATTTTATGGGATACCTATTATGGGAGAGGACGACCTACACAGTGTACTAAACAGTGCACTGAAGGAATAATAAAAAAAAAAAAAATTCTTAGCATAACCCTTTAATCGCCACTTTGTGGTATTTTCTCTAGCCCATTTGACTCAGTGGACTATATGAAGAAATAGTCTTTCTAGATTAAAGTGATGATTGCTTCTTATTAACGCTGATCAATATTTAGTAGATTAAGTGAAACACGGCTGGAATGATCTTCTAGTCAAAACATCCACATCACTAGAAAGTATTAGCATCTTATGAGCCAATGACATTTAAAACCATCACGCCAATCTGGCCCTTAAATCCCCTGTGCCATAACAAATATTCTGCGTATTTCAGCTTTATATAGCTCTGCTGTCACGAAATGAATAGAACATTCCCTTCAAATACGGGATGTGTATACATTAGATCAGGCTTCCCCAAACTCCGGCCCTCCAGATGTTGCTGAACTAAAGCTCCCACGATTCTCAGCCTATCTATTTCATTCATAGAATCATTGGAGTTGTAGTTCAGCAACATCTGGAGGGCCGGAGTTTGGGGAAGCCTGAATTAGATTGTTATGATTAAATGATTTCTTCATTGGTCCTTAGTTTAAGGAACACACTAAGCACCACCTAACCTATACAGCCTGCTGTTGTGGTCATGGTGCAAGGTATGTGTACCCTGGAGCTCTCCAAATAGTCAAAGCATTTGTGAATTTTTAAAAAACTTACCTGAGGTCTGCTAGGATCCAATCTCCTCTGTAGTCTAAAAGCTGGAGCACAGAGCTAAGCCCAGCAGGAGCATCTAGCCCACAAAAGGTGGGTTACCAGCAGACCCTTTTGTCAAACTGTTCATAAATTATTTGACTACTTATTCTCGGAGGGCATCAGGCACTCCTTGCACCATAACCACTACAGCAGGCTGCTTGAAGTGTTTATTTAACCTGGCAGACATTTATATACTGACCCATTCTGCACAACTTCAAATATTTATTTATAACATCACTGAAAAAAAAGGTCAAACTTACTGATACATCCACGCACACATCCTGCTCAGCTGGAAATAACTTATTTTGAACAAAACTCTGTCACTAGGTCTCTGAACATACTAAAATATACTAATTACATGAAAAAGGCAGAACTTGATGGACGCATGTCTCTTATTAGCTATGTAACTATGTAAGTAACACTAATTTGAGAAGCCTCAAATACCAGAGGCGTTGTAGAACAATACATTGCTTTGCTCTCTGCTCTGGCACTCAGATGAAATGTTCCTGGTAACTAAGTAATTTGCGTTTTTGTACGAGCCACCCACACTTTCAAATCCTTTATGGTATGTTGCTATGGCTATACCTTTGACAAAAGCATTTGTCACAGCTATTTCACATAAAGTACTAACATTTTTTTTTTTTGCATTGATATGTCAATTTAACAATTCTAAAAAATTTAAGCTGTTTGAAATTTACCTGAAAAAAAATAACTGACACAAATGGCCCAGGGAAGAGATCTTCAAAACTGCAGAACCATTGATTAATCTGAAAAACATAAAACAGTAAAGTATTCTTTTAATATTGAGAAAAACACTTGTGTTTATTGGACTCTGTACTGGTTAAATATTTACAGCAATAAGAGGTACTATTAAAGGGGCACTCTTAGAGACATAATAACTACTGCACTGATTATGTTACATAGAGTGTCCTGGTGCTATACTCTGATTTAACATAAACCAATTTCTGAATTTTTTATATAAACCAGCAGTCTTGCTGGAAGCCAGGGACCGCCACCATCTTAGCCACATTGATTATGAAGAATTTCGTCCAACCTAGATAACATTGATGAGAGAGCTGGGTTAAACCCAGAGCAAATTTAAAAAGTGGTAAATTTACAGAGATCCCCAAATGATTCTCAGAGATGCAACTACACTACTACTGAGCTACAAACTTCATAATTTCTTTTGAATATTTGGTAGGGTGGAAGATGAATTTAAAGGAACACTATAGCATTAGGAATACAAGCCTGTATTTCTAACACTGCAGTATATCTATCCCTATATATCTATTATCAGAGAGGCTGAAGAGGGAACAGGCCCTGGGTGCTGGAAGAACCCTATTTTTGTCAAAAAATAAAGATGCTTATAAACACATAGCAGCATAACCTTTTAAATGAGCTGTAGCAGTTGTTATGGTAAACATTATGGCTATCCATAGTTTGTGGATAGATTTTTGTGCATGGATTTTCCAATAAGCTCTGGTGCCCTTCAAATGCTTTGTTATGACTATTTTTTTTTTTTTTATAGGCTGGCTAAACATTGCAGAAAACATTGCAGAAACGTCTGCCCTGTGCCCTATAGGAACATACTAAGCTACAACTGACACCACATTTTAATGCATTATATGGATAATAATTAAAACAAGGAAAAAGACAAAAACAAACAAACAAATAACTGACAAAAAAAATACCAAAAAGCAGTTGAAACCTTTCAGTGTGTCAGCATTTTGCTGATATATTGTGCATTCTCCATTGAACACTCAGCTTTCCTTTGTTTCAATTTGTAAACAGATGTATTCTTGTAGGCAATGGACCTTTTCATTACTGTCAGAATTACCCTTTTGACCACTGACTTTAGTGATATGAATATAGGTGGAGATTACTACTTGTTATTTTGTAACAAAGTTCCTAAGTATTTAGTGGGGAAAAAAATCACATCAGTTTCTTTGATAAGTAACAACAGTTAAAGTTAATTTTGTCACTATGGGAGAGCCTTATCAAAGTGTGCTGTTCTAAAAGTAGGGCAATCACCCTACTGGAAGGAAGAAATGAATAGACATTAGGGGCAACTCTCCTAGTCCCCCACCTATTCGCAAAGCTAACTCCCCACAGATAAGAAATCCTCACTGAAAATGATAACCAAGGTTATAGTTTAACCAGGGTGAACAAACCGTTTTAAAAGATGTACTAGCGCCCCTATCTCTGTCAGACATGTATCTCTCAGCTTGGGAAGTTAGGAAGCTCTTGTATCCACCAACAAGCTTCCGAGCAGTCAGGGTGAATTTAGTTATAAATTTGTTGTCATGAAAAGGGTACCCTTTCACTGGTTTCAACAGCAAGTATGTCCATAGAGGCAAGTCTACTGGATTATCCAGAATATCACTTCAGATGTTTTGCATATGTTACAAAAATGTTTAGCTTTAAGGCATCTTCACCACACATGATGGAAACAAATATGCTTCTAATCCCACAGTTTCTCCAGAAAATATCTGTGCTGCTCGCACACATGTGAGCCAATGTTACTGGGGTAAGATATCACTTTATCAGCACTTGTAGCGCTGCTCCTTCAAAATCAAAAATCAAGAAATTTGCAGCTACTACCCACATTTCTTCCCATACCTCACCGTTCAGGGATTCTTCAAAATATATCTCCCACAGGGAGATGAGTCCAATTGCCCTGAGGAGCATAAATGCTAATACAAGATGGAGATGCATCATATCTGGATATATCTAAAATAATCTCTGGGGATTGTCTTTTATTTTTAATCTGTAATCTGTTCATATCTATTAAAGAGTTCTAAAATATTTCTAAAAGGGACTTCTTTTGTTTTGTTTAATTCTGCATTTATTTTTCACCATTATTCTACCATCTGGGATTATCCCAAGACTTTTTCCCAGATGGATTCTGCATTTGCTCAATATGCTTCCTATGGCCTATTTGTGCTTGATTTCTGCTTCTGTGAGGCGTTATTGTCAGTATATGCTATGAATTAGTGTTAAAAAAATAATAATAATTTTCTAAAGAGCAATATGGATTAACTGAATTCTGTTGAATGCGAGATGTTCACAGGCTGTCCACAGTTAATCAGAAAATTAAGAAAGATCAAAAGGCACACTTTACAAACATGTATTCCTCACACAATAGTCCTGAAGTTTCTGTTTTCTTGACCAATCACACTGAAAATGTGTCTTCAATCTTGATTATTTTAGCCAATCCAATGTTTTTCCATAGGAATGCATTGGGAGGCTATTGAGTATGCACAGCAAAATGCTACGCTGTGCCAATCAGCATCTCTACATAGAGATGCACTGAATCAATGCATCTCTATAGGGAACGTTCAGCATCTCTATGCAAAATGTGGAGATGCTGAATGTAGGTGCTTCACATTGTGCAGCGCTGAGATATGAAGCACTTCTAGTGGCTGTCTGAGTGACTGCAACAAGAAGTATGACTAGGCATCAATGTAAACACTGCCTTTTCTCTAAAAAAAAAGGCAGTGTTTAAAAAGAAAAACGCTAATATAAGTTAATAGTTTTTTTTTCTAATGGTTTATCCTGTTTGGATGTTCGTTTGTATATTTTTAATGTTCACAATACATTCCATGATAAGTGTTAAATATGCAGACAACTGCTTAACCCTAAATGAAATATTAATAAAGGGTAACTTACTCCAACCCCCTATGACCACTTCTGCTTTTAGAATTGGTCATGGTGGTGTGGTGTTTTTACTTGAAATGTTGCAAATCCAGAGAAATTTGCACTTTTGCACTTGGGACTATTTGTGTGTTAGGCAGTCTGGAACTCCGTTCTGGATTATCTAAAGTCAATTCTGTGCAAAAATGATGTCAGAGCATACAGCGTGCTGGTAACAGATGTTATGAGCTCTCCCTTGTAGGCAGTGCACATGCAATAGGATGCTTCAGTGTATCCTTTCGCAAGTGAAAATTATTAGATTTTTTTTTCTTTTAACTCCTCTCCGTCCACCCCATCTTTCTCTCCCTCTTTACCAGGCTGAGAGTGCACACAGAGCCCTGAGCCAGTGAACCAGTCCTGTGAAATGCTTTTTTATGAGTAAGGGACATAATGAATAATGCCCACCAGGGCATTGTAAAGTAAAAAATTAGGTTTTTCAAAAATTATTAAAATGTTTAGAGTAACACTTTAATTTTTATCCTAGCTCATTCTGAATAGAGGATTTCATTACATGTAGAACTTCGCTTCTAAACAACATTTGATATTTTGAGTCATAAAACTATTTGTAAAACACACTGCTTCAGCGATATATGCTTACTCCATGTATGCATTTATAAATCTGTGCTTTTCTACCAGTCTGCTAAAGAATGTAAGAAGACTTAGGCTTGCTGCACCAAGGAAAGTTATACCTTATACAACCAGTTAAACAAAAAGGGTCTTTTGGGATTGGACTAAACATGCACTAATACAAATAATGTGACATTGTGTCGTTTGTGAGCAGGGGCTTGACTATAGTATCAAAACCATTGGCATGTCCCTTCTGCATCTTTCACTGCAATGCAAGGCAGACCACTCTCTACTGAAGGACTATGCTTGCATTAAAGCTAGCAGCAAAAAGACCCCACAAAGCTTTTTTGTCCGTTGCCTAGATTTAAGTAAAAAAACCTGTTTAAACAAAAACAAAAAGTGGATCAGCTCTAAATAACTGAACAAAAAATAGAATGTCTGCACACCCTAAATCCCTAAATAAAAGTAGAGACAGAAAAAGCCAAAAACCAGGATGAACCAAGGGTAAAATATATATTTTTTAACAACCCACACAAGTAATCCACATATAAGAAATCCCTGACTAAACACCTACTGGATGTTGCTAAAACCCTAAATCCCACTAAGTGGAAACTATCGGGGATGCCAACCCTCCAGCAATGGGTCTCCAGAGTAGAGGAGTTATATAGTATGGAATCAATGACTGCAGCCCTCAAAGGCCACTCTGACAAGTGTATCCTCACCTGGACTCCATGGCTGGAATGTTTCCTGTTTGGATGTGACGACCTAAATGACAGACATCGGGAGACCAGAGGTCCTGCCACACTACTCCGACTTAGACCTAGACATACCTATTGGACATACCCAATTTTTTTTCTCACCATATAACCGATATGCCCTCCAAACCAAGAACATCTGCCCTACCCCACATACACCCTGCCCCATTTAAACATTGGTAAGCACCACAGGGCTACCAATCTAACCACTCTCTTACACTCTTGACATTTTCATGTCTGATGTTGACTGAGGAATTTTTGGGAGTAGGGGATTAATATGCATAAATGATATAGTGTGAAAAGAGGACTCAATATTGTGACTTGCGAGTCAAACATGTGAAATTCAAAGTTATTGGCGGTCCTCTGACAAAAGAGCGGAGACAGTTCAATGGCAGCAATGGCTAACAGCACAATGCTATCATCCTTCTTTAAATAGTGTAAGGAAATGCCTCGGATCCCAGCAAAGTGGCTTGGATGTGTACTGTACTCATTGTTATAGATGTGGCAGCGGTTATCATTTCGTAGTTGGCAGTAGAAAGCGAGTGGCAACAACATACAGAGACAGCCCTTGAAACAAAATGGGGTCACAACCATGGGACAGGAAGTCACTAGTTTCCCAAAAAATGTCCCCTCAAAGCTGTGTATATTGTGGCAGCAGAAATGTTGACCTCTAGTTGCAACGTGACAGCAAACACTGTATTGCTCAAAAGAATGCCATGCAGGCCACTGGTAAACCAAAAACTAGTGCACACAGTATTTAAACACTTACGTAAATTCTGCGTCACCTAAAACAATTAAACCACACAAACCTACATGTACTGCATTTGTATGGTGTACTTTCTTTCTTTTTTCCCCATGATTGTAATATTACAAGCAAGACGGAAGACGGTCATAAGCACAGTGCACCCAATAGATGCTGTGTCTCCAACTACACTTTTTGAGGAACCATGCTTAATATCTGTAAAGTTCCCTCAAGTTACAAATGAAATCAATCAAGCTTCAGACACAGTTTGGAATCCACCAGTGAACTTCAAATGTTGGGCTATATTTTATTAAAATTGAAGTGAAATTGAGCCATCTTATGACCCGTTTCCACTGAGCGGTACAGTTCGGGACGGTACAGTCTGGTACGCTATTTTGAGTGTTTCCATTGTGAAAGTGGCCCATACAACTGAACCAAACCACACCATTCCTGGGCCCCCTTCAAATGTAGGTCTATAGGAAATGGTATGGTACGGTTAGGGCGGAACTACCGGCGTCACACTATACAATCCATTGATTGGCGGACAGGAAAATGTCAATGCTCATGACAAATGACATGCTAGGCGTTTGGTCTAAACCCCGCATGCCCCCGGCGGTCCGACTTGCAGTGGAAATGCTCACCTGAATAGGCTGCATCATTCTAACCCTTCCGAACCGTACTGACCTGAACCATACCGCTTAGTGGAAACAAGGCATATGTGAGTCTGAAAAACAAACTGTATAACGAATGCTGGAAGAGGAAACCACTTCATTCTCCAAACCTGATGATGACATTAGTTGTATAGATAAATGCAGTTGTCTGTTTCACTGAAAGACACTAACCCTTTACAAGGAAATAAGGATTAACTGCATGATCTCATTGCACAAAGATGGGTGCAAAAGTCAAACTCACCTTATACCTCAGCCATGGTATATGTTCGTATAAAGGATGGTAGCTTACGTTTGTGCACTGACTACAGGGAACTGAACAGGAACAGATTGGCGGCCCATTCCTCTTGTACAAGTTATTATGAACAGTCTTGGAGAAAACTCTTGGTTATCTTTACTCGATCAGGGAAAAGCATATCATCAGGGTTTCAAAGAGAGTAGAGAGTAGACATTTGACAACCTATGTAATGCCATGAGGGTCATACAAATGGATTTGTTCCCTCTGGGTTGATTGATGCAACTGCAGACTTTCAACTTTGCATGGAAGAGTGCCTGGAAGATCTCAAAAATAATGTTTGCATCCCATACCTCGGTGATACATTAGTGTTTAGTAAGTCCTTTGGAGACCACGTCAATGATGTAAGAAAGGTGTTGCAACATTTAAGAAGGTATGGTAACCAAATTAAAACCCAATAAGTGTGAGATGTTTAAATGTGAAGTGTGTTACCTGGGAAGGATTGTCTCCCCCGAAGGAAGTAAGATGGATCCTGCTGATATGGTTGCAGTAAGAGCTATGATAGAAAAACATCCATGCACTGTTGGATAGTTATGAACAACTCTCGGTCTATTAAGATACTACCAACAATACATCAAAGATTTCTCAAGAAATACTGGTTTGCTTTGTGACTTGCTGAAAGGGACAACTGAGATAGACAAATAAAGTTGGAAGAATATTACAGCCAGACACACTAAAGTAAAGAGTAAAGGAGTGTCTTTGGAGAAGCCTATCATATGGACAGACAAGCATCAATGGATAGCCGAGATACTAATATTCTGTCTGGTAGAGCCACCAGTACTTGGGTTTCTAGACTTCTCATCCAGCCATGATGAATGTGTTTAAATTTGACAGGTAGTCAGTCTGATGATGTCACTGCACTGTGCATGGAGTGAAGCAGGGAAGATCATAGAGACTATCTACTGATTTTCAAACACTGTTTGACCCAAGGTGTATTTATATGGCTGAAGGATCCTGTCATATACTAAAGGTAGGGATGAGATTTTCTCATTTTACTTTACATTTCAGTTGCTAAGCTAATTTTCCTACAGTCTGTTGGTCAAAATAAACCAAAAGAAGGGTAAACCTCAAACATCATGGACAGAGGAGAATAAAATGGCAGCACTCAGATATTGAGATCCATCACAAGGAAGAAAAGATAATAAATATAAACAAAAGCAAGTGGACAAGTGTGGAGTATGATCTTTAAAATACAAGGGGCATGAGAAATGGAAAATCAAACGATATAAAGTGACTGTGCCACTTTAACCCCTTAAGGACCAAACTTCTGGAATAAAAGGGAATCATGACATGTCACACATGTGATGTGTCCTTAAGGGGTTAAAGGGGCACTTCTGTTGAAGTCAGCCCATGCTTTTTTAATTGATTAGATCATTTACAAAAAATTTGTAAAACATTAAATTATAATAAAATATAGCCCAACATTTGAAGTTCTTACATTTGCTCCACATATTCCGGCTTTGCCGTTCTTTTCAGAGCAGGACATTACTCAGCCAAACATATACTCATTAAACTATCTAGTATATAGCATTGCTGAGGTTATCCAATTAGTAGTGTATGGGCACAGTACGGATATCTTGGACACTGTAGTTCAGTTGTCCACATTCTACTTCAAACCTTAAATGCTGAACTACAACTACCAGAACCCAATATCATGATGTCATGTACAGCAGTTTTATTAGAGTAAAATCACATTACAAGTTTTCAGGGAAAAGCAGAATTGGGTGGGCTTATCAAAACTTGCAAAAAGAATACAAAATATCCACCACAACTGTAGCCTAAAGTGCACATTGAACCTAAAATAAGTGAGGTTGCTTGGAGTGTTTTTTCATGACTGCTAGGGAATTGAGGGCAGGTTTAATCATAAAGTGGTGACATATATTCGTTCACAATATATACTTGTTAGTTTATTATTATTATTATTGCCATTTATATAGCGCCAACAGATTCCGTAGCGCTTTACAATAAATGAGAGGGGGGATTTCACTATAAATTGGACAATTACAAGAAAACTTACAGGAACAATAGGTTAAAGATGGCCCTGCTCAAACAAGCTTACAGTCTCTAGGAAGTGGGGTATAAAACACAATAGGACAGGGATTCACAATCAAATAAGGTGGGAGTGAAGCAGAGCTGGAGGAGAGAGTAAAGTGCTGCCCTTTAAGAGAGCGCAAGAGTCAGGTATGTGAGGTAGAGGTTACTCTGGGAGGCCATAAGCTTTCCTAAAGAGATGGATTTTAAGGAACTTCTTAAAAGATGCAAGACTAGGTGTTAATTGGTGTTAGACCATGAACAGATTTCTATTTTTTTTTTTCTTGTATGTTTCTAGGGAAGTACATTGCAGGGTGGTTAATTTCAGCTATAAAATAGGTAAGCATCTGGCAATAAGTTGTTTTTACCCCAGTGATGAAGTAAAATCCAGGCCTAGGCCTAGGCCTGAAGCCTCTGCACAGCTCATTTCATCACATGAAGTGCAGCATCACACCTTCCTCATGCTACTCTGATTTAAAAAAAAATACATAACAGAAAACTAATTTATTTCTCTAATTTTCTCACTGTGCTACAATATGCATCTCTCCAGCATACATTATTTCATAAAAAGTGCAACACCCTGCCCTTTTTGGCATATCACAGTACACAGCAGGGAGGTGAGCACCAGCACTTTAACTGCATACCTTAACTCATCACAAATACAGCGCAAGAACATATATTGTATTTTGCTTTTCAACAGATAGCACATAGCCATCTATACAGCTTAATTGGGGAGCAGTACTAAGTCTCTATAAAGCTTAAATGGGGAGCAGTACCAGGTCTCTACACAGCTTAATTGGTAAACAGTACCAGGTCTCTATACAACTTAAATGGGGAGCAGTACCAGGTCTCTAAAAAGCTTAAATGGGGATCAGTACCAGGTCTCCATACAGCTTAAATGGGGATCAGTACCAGCCCAATATGCAGCTTAAATGGGGAGCAGTACCAGGTCTCTATACAGCTTAAATGGGGATCAGTACCAGGTCTCCATACAGCTTAAATGGGGTTCAGTACCAGGCCAATATACAGCTTAAATGGGGATCAATACCAGGTCTCCATACAGCTTAAATGGGGTTCAGTACCAGGCCAATATACAGCTTAAATGGGAAACAGTACCAGGTCTCTATACAGCTTAAATGGGGAGCAGTACCAGGCTTCTATACAGCTTAAATGAGGAGCAGGGCCTGGCCTCTATACAGCTTAAATAGGGAGAAATAAATGGTCTCTTTCTTGAATACTTCAGCTAAAAACATGGGGTGCAAAAGCAGTACTCTCATACATATCTCAGGGCATCACTGTGGTGCAGAAACAAACATCTCATAACAAGAAATGCAGCACCAGAACTTATTGTGTATTTTTCAGCTCATCACAAGTCATCACATTGCAGCACTAGGCCATTCCCCTGCATATTACAGCTCATCACTAACTACGAGAGCAAAACCATTCCTCCTAAATTAGTGTATCACAATTAATTAAAACCACACACTGGCTGTTTTTTCCCTACATGAATAATAGGTATCATTTCAGCAAAAAAAACGAAATATAATGCATTTATACAAATATATAACAGTCTTCTATAACATTTTATATGCCTCACTGTACACCCACCATATCAATCCACTTTTCCATGTTTTGATGTTATCTCGTAGATTGTATTCAACTCTTATTTGAGGATTTCTGTGAGGATATAATCTATAATAACCAACACATTTGTTTGTAAAAATCGGTAATATAATTACTGGATCAATTCGCAAGACTCCCATCAATAACACCGTTTACCCTCAATCGTGTAGAAGTAAGGCTTTGAAATGCATCACCCCAGGGGCAAATAAATACGAGTTATGACCTTCATAGACCCCACTCATCGTATTCGGTTGCCATAGAACCAAGATGGAACTAGGTGAAATGCAACAAGCTTAGTGGGGGATACAAATCATTTAATGACTGAAGACCATTAAAATAGCCTTTTCTACTCCACCCTTGTTTAAAGAATATCCATTATTTGTTAAATAAGCCCGGGCTTGCATATTAATATATGTATATTGTGTGTGGCTGTGTATACACATATATATGATCTGCATGGGCATCCATTTCCATGGAATAGACAGAGCAATATCACCATGTTGGCTTACCTATCCAGTCAGTGTCTGTGATGTTGTGATCTGCCTGCTGTAAAGGAAGGGGCAGCATGTGTCTGGATCTGGATATAATAATATAAAAAATAATAACGTTGCAGGCAGCCAGACCCCAGGGTTGCAGCTGTTGGTTCTTGATGTGCAGTTGCAGTAGCAGTAGCAGCAGCAGCAGGGAGAGGAATCAGTGAGTTCTACAGAGCTAAGCCCGTCCCTTCCTGTCTGAGCACCTGCTGCCTGCACAGCCCATCGCGTACACGCAGAATAATGCTCAATAATGAGCCTTGCTAAGGAGGGGTAGGGGAGAATCCGCTGCCAGGCCTGCTTAAACACACTGCTGAGGGCTAGTATTTAACCCCTTACAGCATGGTGTGCTATGAGAAGCACATTGCCTTAATTAACCTAATGAGTGAAAGTACAGTGAGCAAATCCTTAGCGATGGTTCTCAAAGGGTTAAAATGTTGAGCAGAGAAAAATGATCGCATGATTTACAAATAAGTGCTCACACTGGGTGAGCTATAGCATAAATAGAATGTTGCGCAGCTGATAGCAGGTGATGGAACTATGCGCTGATTCCATGCTTCTACAGAAATACAATGTAGCACAGAGAATGCAATACAAACATGGCCACTATACAGTCATACTGGCTCGTATTTACAGACCTTGAGAAGTGGACTGAGTATTGTGGAGTAGGCGGTGGGTAGAACGAGATGATGAACATGGAAGTGGGCAGAGGAAGCCCCCCACCCTCTTATGACATCTGATGTCACCCAGCCCAGTTTCTGTAATCCTAGCCATAGAACAGAAAAAGATGAATGAAATCAAAGGGTGTGTGGGAGATCCGATTTCCAAAAGAGAGCAGCAGGACCACAAAATCATCGTCACCCAATAGCAGCCTGAAACTTGTCACCTACCAGTGAGAGCAGAGCCTAGATGTCAGTATAGGGCCACACTGTTCTGGAGGATGCTGGCTGGACACAAGGCAGCTTCTGGTTCCCTCTAAGATTTTTATTTGAAAGCCCCCTCTGTCTTCCTCAGTGTTATTGTCCCTTGTTTTGTGCTGTGGCTGATGTCTCCCACCCCATCCTCCATCTCTCTCTCCCCTCTTCTAAATTTTCTCTCCTCCCACAACCCGTAGAAACAGCTCAACATGGCTGCAAAAGAAACAGATGGCGAAGGCTCTGCTGATAATTCCACCCTCACATATACATTGACAAGAGGCAGCCTCCATCAGAGTTAATGTCTAATTACAGTCAATGCACGACATGTCCAGTAGACAATATGGTTATGAGTAATTCAAGAGTGACTGGGGTGGGGTGGGGGTTGGGGACCAAATATTATTACCAGGGAATAAGAATAATTGCATCATATCTCAGTTAAAACACCTAAATACATGCAAAAAAATAAATGAAAAAAAAATCTACTTACAGTTGGATATTAAAATCAATTGCATAGACCGGTATCTTTATAGTAGCAGGTTTGTAAGGCTTTTGATTGTAATACAGAATTGATTAAATAATAAGTCTATTTGGAGTATGTGTAATGTATTGGATTTTATTATGGATATTTTTTAATATTATGTATACATATAAGTTAAAGGAAAATTCCATTTACTATAGCCACTGTAGTGGTTATGGTGGTGCCATAAGTTCATAGACCCTTACAGAGAAAGTATTTAAACCGTTTGTGAATACTTCTGAAAATCCCTAGCTCAAAAGCTCCTTACAGTTACTTCCAGCTCCAAGAGAGGTGACCAGCGACAAATTACCCAAGTAGGGTGCCAGGGCATTTCTGGCATCATAACCACTATGATGAGGTGTAGTGCTTATGATGCTTGGAGTGTTCCTTTAAAAACTCTTTGTTGTGTGTCTCTTGGCTTACCATAGGGGGGTGGGAAGGGGGGCAGTCCTCTCTAGTCCTTTTTGGTTAGAAGCATTGGATACCTGCTAAGAGCATGCACAATTTGAAAGACTGAAATATTTAAAGGACCACTATAGTGCCAGGAAAACATACTCGTATTCCCACCCTCAGGGTCCCCCTCCCGCCCGGCTCTGGAAGGGGGAAAGGGGTTAAAACTTACCTTTTTCCAGCACTGGGCGGGGAGCTCTCCTCCTCCGTTCCTCCCCGTCGGCTGAATGCGCACGCGCGGCAAGAGCTGCGCGCACATTCAGCCGGTCGCATAGGAAAGCATTTACAATGCTTTCCTATGGACGCTGGCGTGCTCTCACTGTAAAAATCACAGTGAGAAGCACGCAAGCGCCTCTAGTGGCTGTCAATGAGACAGCCACTAGAGGCTTTGGGGGAAGGCTTAACCCATTCTGAAACTGCTATGTTTATAAAAGAATGGGTTAAGCCTAGCTGGACCTGGCACCCAGACCACTTCATTAAGCTGAAGTGGTCTGGGTGCCTAGAGTGGTCCTTTAAGACCTCACAGCCGAAACGTTATATATGCCCTTGTTTTGTTCTGTATTCTAAATAAAACTATCTGGTTCACCCTATGCTGTGCAGCTTGTGGCTATTCACTTGTGAAAGACTGAAAGCACCAAAAAGTTTAAATTTGAGATTCCCAGTAGTTGCACATTACGTCAATTTCAACAAACACACACAAGCTCTTGAGTATCTGCATGGATTATGTTTAGATCAGCAATGCTTTTAATTTAAAGAGGACTTAAAGATAATTGCACTCATACAGCAAGTATTAGGAAATACTGCACACAGATACTGTAATATGTGTGTTTTATTATACATATTTCAGGTAGTTAAAAAAATAAAACAAGGGGGGCGGGGCCTGACTACTGAGCAAGCAGGACACATGTTGAAGGAGCTCCTTGGCAAATACAGAGAAATTGGCCCAAAACTTGTTACCTGCTATAAAGTACCAGCTGAACCTGATCTCTGAAGGCACGGGAGAGGCCGGGCACCAATTTCTACCACCCTGCTGAGAGCTTTATGGGCTCTGACAGTCATTGCGGCCTACAAACTACACTGAGGCGGAGGACGCGGCGGATCTCCCGCCTCGCCTACAAATCAACGACGGTCTGGGCCACGCTTCCCCCCCTATGGGCCGGTGGGGGTTATCCCGGCCCCCATGAAGCAACAGGACACAAGCAAGTGTTTAAAAGCACCAAGCAACTGAAACCGCAAACCGGCAGGCTAGCTGCAAAGATGGCCGCCACGCGAAACTCTGGGCTCCCCACGAGGACAGCATAACAAGGGCATTTGATCGCTTTTGGGCTCAACTCTGGGAGAAACTCGCCGAACAGGCACAAGGACCGGCAACCACAGACCCAATACAAAAGCTAGGGGTGACAAAAGCACCACAGCCTGCACCACTTAATGGCACCGAGAGGCTGATCATAATGAAGAGATGGAGGAAGGCACGGAGGATACCCCGACTCAGTACGAGCCGTCCCACTACCAGAGCTTACTCGCCTGGAACCCAGTCCATGCAGGTGAGACCGCCCTCGCACAGCTCTCAGCCTCGGATGACGAGCACCCCATGGAGACACCGGCTGCCAGCTCACACACTCCGCGAGCCAGCCCAGACCACCCACAGCACTCATGCACGAGAGACACAGCCGGTCCCTATGTGTCACTGGAGGGGAAGAAGCAAACCTCAATGGCACCTACCAACAGGCACACATGCCGAACACCACCTTCCAGGGTCACTGCGCTTCCCGTTGTCGGGAGTCGGCTGACCAGGGACTTACCTTCCACGGCAGAAGTCATGCCAGAGCTATCTGACCTGCCGGACTCCTGTGGACGCCACATGGTCTAAGGACAAGGTTCTATGTTTAACATTTGCTCTCTCACTTGAAACAACTCTCTCTTTTTGGCTGGATTATTTACTTGCTGGAGCCCTGACACTAGCCAGTCTGCTTATATGCCACTCCACGTTTTGATGTTAGCAGTGGGGGGTGCCCGGAGAAAGAAACATGTCAGTTTTGACAATAGTTAATCGCTTATTGTGTTATTATCTTTGATAAGTCTACTAAGCATGGAATGCTTGAGCCTAAACGAAGTATGACATACACTGAGGCACGATGTCATTCCCGCTGCATTTATCCAGCCAGCACATTCACCTTTTGAAAACTCTAGATAGCATGATATACGTTTCCCTTTATTGGTTTCCAAACACAACCAACCTAGCATTGTTAATTATTATAATTTTCCACTTTCATCATTTTAAGTTAACATCGTTTTAAGTTAACCTCATCAGTACCCAGCAGCATATGTCGATACACAACCTAACCATGATGCTTAGACTACAACTAACAGATACACACACATGAACAGCCCTGTTCATCATCACATCATAATAGTACGAGACTTGAGTATGTTATGTAGATTGTTTAATGTTATATGTACCTACACTTACTGCTATAGGCACACGGCCTGCCTTCACAATGCCAATTCGTTAGACGCAACCTGCGCTATGACCATAACTGTTTATAGCCTAAAAACAAAAATGTGCTTGTTCTATCATGTACCTATATGTTTAACTACTGTTTTACTGCGCTGGAGGATTGCCTTTGGGGTACCTCACAAGCGAGTGTTATAAATCCTACGCACAACAAAAATAAAGAATTTAAAATAAATAAATAAATAAAACAAAAGACCGAGTTATCGTTATTGTCACTTTTTCACATACTTTTCTGAGTTATGTGTGATTGGCGATTGGTCCAAATCCATGAACTCTGAAACATTACGTGGACAAGTCATGTAACAAACAAAAATGGACAATGCAAAAACCGCTTAGTTTGATTTTGTAATTTGGATTTCCTTTCAAAGCACCACTAAATGATAGCCACTAAATGCTGATTTTATTCACAAATCACGTAACACGTCATCAACAGAGAGGAAAAAAGGAGTAACAATAAAAAAAATCTGTAGTTATATATTATATAATTAATAACTATTTCCATCAATGGGTTAATTCTTCTTACTTTATCTATGAATCAAATGGCAGGAAAGTATGTTTCGCAGTGTACTGTTCAAAATATACTAAAGATTTATACCAGAATAAGTTGCTCCACTGTCTCACTAGTAGTAAAGAACAGGTTAAGATAATGTATAAAAGTTAAGACCATTAAGAAATACATTTTGTTTTTCCAAAAGTGATCACATGGATGAAATTTGTAAGAATCGCAATGCCACATGGACGAATCCCAAATGGATCTAAACAAAAAAAACAAGATTTTGGACAAACTAAATTTTTCTGATATGCGCAAGTAAATTTCCTAGTACATCCCTCCATATAAACAATTATTGACATGCCTAACATATAGCTCAACAACAGTGGTAAATCATTAATATGAAACTATTTTAACTAGAAAATTAGCGTTATTTAGAACACAGCTAGAATTCAAATCATGTTTATTACAAGTGCGCACAAAATTTTGGCTAAAATACCCTTTTAGAAAAACAGTACTGTCAGTTTTGAGTTTTATGACAGAATATTTATATTAAATGTTATAGGCAGAAGTAGCATTTCAATAGAATTCAAACACAACCAAAATTAATCATAAGACAAACATTGACTTACTTTTTCATATATATATGAGTCAATGTTTGACAAAATGTTGCAAAAGGCAGAGCTTGAAGCTTTTTCTTCTTGCTGCATCTTGCCATGTCCTATCCACCATCGCACGCACACATCTAATGAGAAGAAGCATCTTCTTACATCATGTTGATTGAAAAGTAAAATATAAACAGAGATACCTGGAATAAAGGACTCATAAAAAACATACATGCATTATATATATATTTTATATTGGGATTGAGCTCCCGTACTCTGCCTGGTAAGCTTTATCACTACTACCAGGGACTCTGGAGCACTTTAGACCCAGTCGCTGAAGCTTGACTGGGGTCTCTAAGGATCTCTTCCTCCAGACCAAGCTCTATTGATTTTAGACCAGGAGACCTGTAAAGCAGAGACTATAGCTTTCCCCCACACATTATATGAGTCTGAATGTAAGGTGTAGAATGATCTTTATTGTACAGAACACAGCTATTGATACACAGCATTGTTGGTTCTCCCTGCAGTAGGTCCTCCACAAAGCAACTATCTCTCCCCTGCACCACTCTGTCTGGGGACTTAATTACATTATCCCTAGCTGACATGAATAGCTCTCTATTATGCCCTCACAGTCTTACAGGCATAGCACACAACATGTCTGCCAGAACCCCCTTTCCCTGGAATGTACCCCCACACAATA